AGGTACATTCGGATACGTTATTATTTCGATACGATCAACAGGATTGCTACGAATGACCTCAATATATATGATAAGACCTGATACGATCACCACGATTCCTCCACGATTAAAACCACGATTAAAACCACGATTTCAATCGCAGCACGAATGGTGATAGTGGGAACCATTGACAGACTATAATTCGTTTACTCAGGTAGGTCTGTCTGTAGAAGTGAGAGGAGCGCTTTACTCTGAACTGTTAGAGAATTGAAATCGAAAGTCAAACTGTGTATATAGCACATCGGATATCACATTAAAAGTAAAGGGATATTTCAACGAAATTCTTACACGCTTTTGCGACGAAGATACAAACTGCGCCCCCTCCCCCCAACAAAAAATAAAATAACTCAAAACAAAGAGTATAAATGAACCTAGTAATTTATAATAATATTATTATTGTTCGATTTATATAGCGCTTCATTACACGTGAAGTGTTTCTAAGCGCATATCACAAACATATACTTCAAACACACAGAAACAATCAAAATCAGGAGAACATAATTAAACACAGCTGCCTGTTAGGCGCTATTATTCAAAGGTTTATATCCAACAAATCAACCGGCTAATCTCAATATTGAACTCAGTCGAGGTATTACCTGATGAACACCTACACCAAGTAGAGTTCAAAAATAAAAACGAAGTTTAAAAGAATCAACTTCATTAACAAAAATTAAACAATCAAAAACTAAACAGATAAATCAAATTCAAACGAAACAAATAAAACAAAGAAAATGAAAAGAGCAGTTCGTTACCATTCTACATTAACAAAATAAAGGAAATCAACTTGTGAAAATTTTTTCAAAAAATAAGAGCAAAGTAACACTAATGTTAATAATTATCAAAAGGAACCAAGATCTTAATGATAAAAACATATATTTAAAGTTTCATCCAAATTGGATAAAAACTGTGGTCTCTAGAGGGTCCACAACCTTGATATACCATATCTATCTATTTCTTAATTAATTACAGGTATGTAAATTATTGTACCGGTAACCTAAATTTTATGAATATTGTTGTGATGTTATGACGATGTGCAATGCATATTGATATTGTGTTTACCTGTTTAAGATGAGTCAATAAAAATCTTTTCTTAAATATTTAGCACCCATGCCATTTAATTTGACGTACGGTATCCGAGACTTTGTTTAATATTATCATAGCAATCCAATATATATATACATTTCTTTATTTATTTTATATATACATACAATTATATTTTCTTGTAAAACACAATTTATATAGCACGACGTTTATTCTCTTATCAAGCTGATAATTAGTAAAGTATGAACTAGCTTTATTTAACGTCCGGGGGATCACGTGGCTAAGTGGGTAAGACGCTAGCTCGCTAGCTCGCTAGCCTGGAGGTCGGGTGTTCGATCCCTGCATTGGCCGAGAAAGTTCATCCAGATTTTCCGGCGTGGTTCTCCCTTGTCAGTGATGCAGGACGGAGGGGCTGACAAGGAAAGCTGTCTAATCGTTAGGATGGGACGAAAAACCGAGGTCCCGTGTACACGTTGGCGTGCACGTAAAAGATCCCTTGGCAGTTGGAATTCGATATAAGAGTAGGCCGTAGTGCCGCTGTCCGGGCAAAATTTCCCTCATAGCACACTGTATGGCGTATGCCCGTCTTCATTAGCCCAGGTTAGGAGCAGAACAGTAGGACGTTAAACTCTATTTCATTTCATTTCATTTAACGTCCGCTCCGGGAAGAAACTGGAGTACCCGGAGTAAACCAACGAGGTTGAGAAGGCGTCCGATCTCCAAGCCACATACGCTCACACCAGTGATCGAAACCACAACCACAAATTGTTAACATAAATAAACGAAACGTCGTGAAATATGTATATAAACCATGCAGTGATTGTTTTCCATATAAATTGTCTTGTGTATTTTAATGTGTTCAATCGTTAAATACCTCTCAAGGGTTATACTTTCTTGATAGTTTATTATAGTCAGGTTGTTGGTAGAAATTATTGCCAGAACATATCTTGGTAGATATAAAGACTCTAGTTAGAATAGAAATAAAATGTCAATATACAGATCTATATTTCGTTTCGTTTTATACACTTCCGTTGGCTTCTACTACATAAAGATCTAATCAGTTGTAGTGGCAGGTCGCGTCGGGGGTCATACGAGCGGTTTTTGACCCAATTACGTCAGACATTTGATTAACCAATCACCGTTGATGTTTCTAGTAGGATACCCACAGTTCCGTGCATCGCACGCCAAGAAATATCAGCAACAGACCGTTTCAAAGGCTAATCCCTCGCATCATTCCAGATCCTAGTGTAGTAAAGACAAATAAAACGAAATTTTGAACTATAAAAAACGAAACGAAATAAGATCTGTGTTTTAATTGATAAAATGTATGATGTTCCGAGGGAGGTAAAGCGATCACCCAAAAGCCCGTTTTCCATGTGCGCGTTTTCGGCAGTTACGTGGAAACGGTCCCATTACATATGCATGACACCGACTTTTCGCCGGCAAAAAAAGAGTACGTTGAAAACGGGCGCGAGAGCTCACACAAACATTTGAATATTTTTTGAAGGTTTTTATTACTGATATTTTTTAGTATTTGTTATACAATGTCAATTAAAACTAATGGAATTCGGTCGCCTAGGAGATAAATAAACAGGTAATGGAAAGATTTATATCTAGAAATCGAAATTGACATAAAAACAATCAAATTGAATTAAATATTCAAACTGCATTGAATAATGACTTGGATAATTCAAATAGTAAAATTAGTATTCGATGTGACAAACAGTACCCTTTGGTCTACTAAACACTAACAACCCGCAAGACTTCCTTTATTCTATTTAACAACGTCAAGTCACTTTACTCTAGATTTATTCAACAAGTCACTCTACTCTACACTTACTCAACAAGTCACACCTCTCTAGACTTATTTAACAAGTCACTCCCCTCTAGACTTATTCAACAACAAGCCACTCCCCTCTAGACTTATTCAACAAGTCACACCCCTCTAGACTTATAAAACTTACAACTTGTCTGTGACTTGGTTGATATGTTTCTTGTCTTGAGCATGGTTTATAATATCTAACACGTATTGAACCAGATCATTACCTGAAGCTAGATCAATACAGGATCGACAATGGGGCAACCCCACATACATGTTGATGGATCATAACCAAACAGAAATGGTGTTTAACTCCCACTGTTCTGCTCCGACTGGGCTAACAAGGACAGGCATACAGTGTGCTGCTATGATGGAAATTTTGCCCGCCTACTCGTATATCAAATTTCAACTGCCAAGGGAACTTTTACGGGCACGCGCCAATGTGTAGAAGGAACGTCGGTTTTTCGTCCCATCCAAACGACTAAAGATTGTTCCTTGCCAGATCCACTGACAAAGCTGAACCACGCCAGAAAATTCTGATGTACTTTCTCAGCCAATGTAGGGATCAATCAGTTTAGCAAGACAACGTCTTCCACACTGATCCACCGTGGTTCCCTCTCAGTTAAAATTGTCATACTGGTGTCCTTCCACATAGAACATTTCTTACATTCACCTAAATGATTAAGGAAGGGTTGATCGTAAATCTGTGATATGAGGCCCCACCAGATTAATTCGGTTCTGAGATATTTTTTAGATCAAATCTCAGATCGTTATCTGAAGGATTTTCTATTCCCTTATAACCTATGATATTGTGAAAGTTAAACGTATTAAACATACATTATGCAAGCGCTAAATCTTCCTATTAAAGGTCTTTCTTATTAATTTGGCATTAAATGAAATGAAATGAAATGGAGTTTAACGTCCTACTGTTCTGCTCCTAACCTGGGCTAATGAAGACGGGCATACGCCATACAGTGTGCTATGAGGGAAATTTTGCCCGGGCAGCGGCACTACGTCCTACTCTTATATCGAATTTCAACTGCCAAGGGATCTTTTACTTGCACGCCAATGTGTACACGGGACCTCGGTTTTTCGTCCCATCCGAACGACTAGACAGCTTTCCTTGTCAGCCCCTAATTTGGCATTAACTAACTTACCAAGACCATAATAAACTGTTGATGCCATCGGATATTTAGTACATTTGAAGACGTTTGAGATTGATGGTAGTAATGACAATCAAGGCTAGACGAAAATTGTATTGCCGATAGCTTAGTTCAGAGTGGAGTAATTTGACTGAAAGTTTCAGCATATTCTGTTTCCATTATCTATTTTTGAACCATTATAGTGAGAATTGTCAGCTCTTGATCTAAATCGTACATAATGCTGCTATAAAATGATTGTTCAGTTCCGTTAGCTATTCAACTTTTACAATACTGTAGTTTGGATATCATCCATGCCTTATATGATGTGTTGAGACTTTAACGGGTCATAGTTATTGCCAGTCGGATATATATTTAATTAGGGTCAGAATGGGGTCACAAGCGGTGCTTGTCAACTGGAGAATAAATAATCAATAAGGTTCCATTCTCTTCAATAAAAGTTGGATGGCTGAATGGTTAGTGCATGCGCATAAAATCATAAGGTCTGTCATTGAGTCAACTGGCGTGGTTTCGATTCCCCGGTTGTACGTGACAAGGAGTAGGGTCACCTGTCCAACCTCGTGGGTTTTCTCTGGGTCCTCTGGTTACCTCTCACTGCTCAAGCCCCTACGCGCAAGTGACTTAATGAAATAAAATTAAACCATAGGTTACTCCCAAAATGACCTGATTTGTGTCGAGTGGACGTTAAACCCCATTTCTCACTCTTTCTCTCCCCTTCAACAAGAAATATTTGGAGTTAATTTGTTATGTAGCATATTGTGCTGTAAATAATATGTATAATTTACAAGGACCAGGTGGTATACTAATATTACTTGCAGGAAAACCACATAAACCAGTCAGATCTTAAAGCTAAAAATGAAACAATTTCATATGATTTCCGCCTGTGATGGAATACGTGTTCACCCTTTTGGAGTAAAAATTGAACTAATGAAAACAAAATGAACCATTTTTAAATCTTATTTTAGGATAAAAATACTATTCACATGCCTCACTACATATACTTTTGTACAAAAAACGAAAAAATTACATAATTTGCCAAAAACGAAAAATTACATAATTTGCCAAAAATTAAATAAAACACTAGTCTGAAACGAAGAAATTGGGGAATAAATAAATATACATTAGTTTCTATGGTAACTGTACAGGATATTAAATATACAAATATAAAGGTAAGTAATAAATATTTACACATCAATATATATATACAACCAGGTAATACTACCTATATATACAATATATCACATTTCAATAATATATATACATCGTATTATTATTACTTCCAACAGGTAGACTTGTTCACTGACAACAATATCCAGCGAAATCTATCGTCTTTTAAAGTATTTTAGTTTTAATATTTTGTGAATAAGCCTCAGTTTAACTGGATTACCCCCCTTTATCAGAATGCCTTATGTAGCATGTTTGCGAAATGAAGACAAGCATATGGTGTGCTATGAGGAACATTTTGCATGGACAGTTGCACACGAACCAACTCTAATGTCGAACACCAAAATTTCAAGAGTTTTTTTATATGCATTCCAACATGTAGGCTACACAGGAGCTTGGTTTATGTACAATCGGAATGACTAAACGCTGCCTTTGCCAGGTCCTCCCTCCTGCACCACTTTCGAGACCCTGAACTGTGCGTTACCCTCTGAGCCAAGGCATGTTTGACAAGAAAGCAATCAGTTTGATACGTAAAGGGAGATAATCCAGTTGGGTGGAAAATAACAATACATATAATCAATCAAACTATATATACACATCTATTATTTATATACATGATGGAATGGATGGACATAATATAGAAACAGTTTATAATAAACCATGGTTTATTGATTAATATAGAAACAGTTTATAATAAATATAAACCATGGTATATCGATTAATAACTACAATATTTACAACATTATTTACTAGATGTTTATCTGGCATTACTTACACAAAGTGGCGTCAATATTCACAAATATTATCAAAGATACATTATACAAGAGCTAAATATGTCTATTGCAGATCTTTCTTTAGGCCTCAAATGTTATATAGATTAATAATCGGACATTAATTAACATGACAAGCCCATAATAAACTCTCTAGAACATAGGATGGTTGTGATTTTGAACAGATTGAAACACAATCGCCATTTGATTATTTAATTTTAAAATGTGTAAACATAACTTTGTTTATCTGTAGCAATGAAAACCAAGACTCCACTATTCTTCAAGCTGTTATAATTTTGATCAGAATCACGTAATTTGACGGAAATTTTCAATATATTCCTTTTTCATTATCTATTTTTAAACCATCATACCGTCACCCCTGAACAAACACACAAACAGACAAATATATAGAGATTTAGTCAAGTAAATCCAAGCCTGAGTGTGATTTATATATTTTATTATGTGGCAGTTTTTCCCTCTGTGTAGACTAGAAGTACATTCACTAACTGATGTGTATATATTTGTGTGGACAGGAATATCAGTTGACTCCGTTAACATACAATTATAACAATATTTTATTATCTATAGTACTGGTGTGTGAAATTATATATCTAGGAAAACAGGTGCTCTTAAACAAGTGCCGTTAAAACTGACATACTGATTATAAGTTTCAAGTTTCTGATCGTTATTCGAGAGATTGTTAGTTCCTTGGATACAGAAGCAAACGTAGTTGTGTCCATGGTCAGTTTTTCATGCAGGAGTTAGCACAGTTGTTGTGTGCATGTTCAGCTTTTCAAGCAGGAGTTAGCACTGTTTTCTGTGCATGTTCAGTTTTTCAAGTAGGTGTTAAATGCAGCACAGTTTTTTGTGTATTTTTGGTTTTTCAAGAAGGATTAGCACAGTTTCACGACATAAGCAACTTCAGATATTAAATTAGCTGACTACTAGCTGATTAGCTTTAAAGTTTGCATACAAAAGTCATCCTGGTACTGCCACCAATGAAAACTTAGTTTAAACAAAATCGCATCCACGTCCAAATTTTTCAAAAACAGTAGATCATTTAAGAAAAAATGGGTATTTTCTTGGTGATTGGTTTACGGCAAATTGGACAGAGTTTCAGCGAACCAGCACAGTGCGCGCAGACGGTATGACCGCAGATAAATGCGAGATCTCTTCTCCGCTCCATACAAACCGGACACGTCTGTTGGTCCTCCATATCTTGTAGTCGTTTTTTCAGAAGTGCCGCTTCTGACATGAGATTCTCGGGAAGTGAATGATAGTTAGTACTTATTGTTGTTCCATCTGTAATGAATAATATGATCATACGATTAAATTTATTTAAAAATGCATTCCCAAGAAAATATTAATAGGATGGTTATTTCAAATAGAGAGAGAGGGAGAGAGAGGGGGAGGATAGGGGGAGAGAGAGAGAGAGGGGAGGGAGAGAGAGGGGGAGAGAGAGAGGGGGAGGGAGAGAGAGGGGGAGAGAGAGAGGGGGAAGAGAGGGGAGGGAGAGAGGGGAGGGAGAGAGAGAGGGGAGGGAGAGAGAGGGGGAGAGAGAGAGGGGAGAGAGAGAGAGGGGAGGGAGAGAGAGGGGGAGAGAGAGAGAGAGGGAGAGAGAGAGAGAGGGGAGGGAGAGAGAGGGGGAAAGAGAAAAAGAGGGAGAGAGAGAGGAGAGAGAAATGGAGTTTAAAATCTACTTGAGACAAACTAGGTTATTTGCTTTGGTATTGGTGAAGAGAGATTCTGAAATCCCCAGCTGTGGTTTCAAGTAAGCTTTGTAGTTACGGTCATGAACAGCTGATTTCAGTCATTAATTAACTGTCCATAGTTTGAAAAGAGATAAAAGAATGAGAGTGGTGATTAGGCCCTGTATTGTCCTAGCATCACATGGCAATTACAGCCTGTATTGTCCTAGCATCACATGGCAATTACAGCCTGTATTGTCCTAGCATCACATGGCAATTACAGCCTGTATTGTCCTAGCATCACATGGCAATTACAGCCTGTATTGTCCTAGCATTACATGGCAATTACAGCCTGTATTGTCCTAGCATCACATGGCAATTACAGCCTGTATTGTCCTAGCATCACATGGTAATAAGGCCCTGTATTGTCCTAGCATCACATGGCAATTTGGTCTTGTACGGTTCTAGCACCATACAGCGATCATAACCTGTATGCTTCTAGCAACAGTTTGGTTCAAGTAACATGTAGCGACTAGGACCTGTACGGTCCTTGCACCACATGGCGATTTGACGCTTATACCACAATTACCGACCAGCGATTAGGACATGTACAGTTTTAGTACAATGGAGTAAACAAGCCAACAGTGAGGCTGATGTCCCCCGCCGAAATAGGAAAATAATTAGAGGACACATATAAAAATCAAATTGCGTATCGCTCTGCTTACCCTGAGCAGAAAATGCTCATTATCAAACTTAGTCAAGGTATTACTGTAATGAAACTATACACCAAGTTTCATCAATCTCACTTAATTAGAACTAAAGTTATCGTGTCCCAAAGCATCAACCAATCAAATTGCTTATCTCTGCTTACCCTAAGCGGAAAATGCTCATCTTCGAACTCCATCAAGGCATTGACCTAATCAACACATACACCAAGTTTGAACATTCTAGCTCAATTAGGAAGAGAGTTATCGTGCCCCAAAGTATCAACCAATCAAATTGCTTATCTCTGCTTACCCTAAGCGGAAAATGCTCATCTTCGAACTCCATCAAGGCATTGACCTAATAAACACATACACCAAGTTTGAACATTCTAGCTCAATTAAAAGTTATCGTGTCCCAAAGCATCAACCAATCAAATTGCTTATCTCTGCTTACCCTAAGCGGAAAATGCTCATCTTCGAACTCCATCAAGGCATTGACCTAATCAACACATACACCAAGTTTGAACATTCTAGCCCAATTAGGAAGAGAGTTATCGTGTCCCAAAGCATCAACCAATCAAATTGCTTATCTCTGCTTACCCTAAGCGGAAAATGCTCATCTTTGAACTCCATCAAGGCATTGACCTAATAAACACATACACCAAGTTTGAACATTCTAGCTCAATTAGGAAGAGAGTTATTGTGTCCCAAAAAGTGTGACGGACAGACAGACGGACAGACAGACAGACAGACAGACGGACGAACCCATTTTAATAGTCCCCTGCTTTCTTCGAAAGGCGGGGGACAAAAAACAAAATAAATATAATAAAAATTTGAAGTCTTACCTGGTCCTTTCTTCATAGTGATAGTTTCTTTACACGTCAGACATCTTTTTACTTTAATACAACATTCGACACATAATATCACATGACCACAGGGTTCAAAGGTCACATTAGCTTGTTGTTCACAACAAATCTCACATTCAATATAATCACCAGTAGGGGGCGCTGGTGATGGATCTGGTGACGGTTCCGATTTCTTACCAGCAGCACTGAAACGATCAACAAAATTATTTATTTACAGCCCATAGAAGTTATACCTCTTTCAGTTTAAAATCAAATACCAGAGAGGGAGAGAGAGAGAGAGAGACAAATGGGGTTTAACGTCCACTCGACACAAACTAGGTCATTTCGGGACTAACATATGGTTTAACTTTATTTCAATAATTCGCTTGCGCGTATGGGTCTTTAGCAGTGGGAGGAAACCAGAGGACCTGGAGAAAACCCACAAGGTTGGACAGGCGACCCTACTCCTTGTCACGTACAACCGGGGATTCGAAACCACGCCAATCGACTCAATGACAGACTTTATGATACAGCGCACACATGCTTACCATTCAGCCATACAACCCCCCATCCAGAGAGGGAGAGGGGATACTCGATTGAACGTTCTGGAATTAAATTCTCTCAATTCTAAAAATAGTGTCAATCGAGTGAAAAGGAGAATTTTGGAGTACAACGTATGTGCCGATTGCATAAAAAATATCTCAACCAATCATGACAGCTGCTTGACACAAACTAGGTCATTTTGGGACTAACATATGGTTCAATTTATTTCACTTTATTTATACAGCGATTAGAAGAAGTCATTTTTAAAGGTAATCAGATTACCAAAAGCAGTTTTATCTGGTATACAGGGGAATCACCTTACAGTTTATCTGGTATACAGGGCAATCACCTTACAGTTTTAATATTGTTAACATCATCTTGAGTATCTTTATAACTAAACCAAAAACTATTTAGGATGCTGTTAAAAACACTTTGAGTCACACCCCTCTAGACATATAAATACAAGCCACACCCATCTAGAGTTATTAATACAAGCCACGGCCCTCTAGACTTATAAATACAAGCCACACCTCTCTTGTCTTATTAATACAAGCCACACGCCCCTCTACACGTATTAATACAAGTCACACCCCTCTAGACTTATAAATACAAGCTACACCCCTCTAGACTTATTAATACAAGCTACACCCCTCTAGACTTATAAATACAAGCCACACCCCTATAGACTTATAAATAAAACTTACAAGTTGTCTGCGAATTGTTTGACATGTTTTTCTACTTGAGCGTCGTTTATAATATCTAACGGAGTTTTCTCCACATGGTTTTTATGGTAGAGATCAGCCCCCTGTTGAGCCAGGTAACACGCAATCGCAGCTCCCCTTTGATCTTCTTCTTCTGACATACCAAGTTGTGTTCTGATCTATAAAATAACATGATTATTGACAGATGTATAAACAATATTATAAATTTATATATCCAATATTTTCATATTGTTTAGAAAATATTTAAGGATAATAATTATTTAACACAAGGTCATCTAAAGGTCAAATAAAATGTCAACTGTCATATCTCTCTATGAAAGACACCTATGTCAAATATGTCGACAAAAATCGATGATGATATGGATATATGAGATAGAATGATACTATAGTAATTCTTATATCTACGGCAACAAGTGCAATTTGAATTGGGAAATTTTTGTAGGAAAAGGAGCAATCGAAGCTGCTTACTTTGAAGAAAGAGAGAGAGAGAGAGAGAGAGAGAGAGAGAGAGAGAGAGAGGGAGGGTTTAACTCCACACAAAATAGGTCATTTCGGGACTAACATATGGTTCATTTTTATTTCAGTTATTCGGTTCCGCGTAGGTGTCTTTAGCAGAGGGAAGATCCAGCGAAAACCACAAGGTTGGGCAAGTGACCCTACTCCTTGTCAAGTACAAGCAGGGAATCGAAACCATACCACTTGACTCAATGACAGATCTTCTGATCCAGCACGTTCAGCCACCCAACCCTGCCCGATTAGATAAAAGAACTTACTACATCTAACAACGGTGATCGTTCTTTTTCCGTGGCAACTGTTTGTCTCATTAATGCCAAATGGAGACAGGTATCGCCATCTTCATCTTCCACGTTCACGTTACCACCACAACTTACTAATAACATGATAAGAGCCGTGTGTCCCTGGGATACCGCCAGCAGTAATGGTGTCTGTTGTCGATTATTACGAATTTCAATATCAGCTTGACCCTGAAAAAAAAACCATGTAGAAAATACAAGATAGGAATTGATTTCCATTAAAATAAATTAAAGATACATAGATAATGTAAAATGAAAGCATTGAAAATTTCATTCATATGATTTCATTCTGAACGAAGATATTTATGGAAGGGTATTAGCCTTTGAAGTTGTAACAAGATGTGTACACTGATTGTAACAATCACCGTTTTTAAATTAAATCATTAAATGGCCAAACTGTTCTAATCTACTTAAAATCGGACCCATTCGAGGACTTCGAGAGTTGTTTATGGTCTGGATAAGTTAATAAATGTCTAATTCATAATTTAGATAACATTTCAGGCCTAAAGAAAGACCAGCAATAGGCAGATTTAGCTCTTGTATAATGTATGTTTAATGTTTGTGTCCAACTTAATTTTTGAATGGTATAGTTATTGAGTAATTGCCAGTTTAAAACAGTTAAGTTTGTTTGAAAGAAATGTCAAGTTATATCAGGTGTGTAAGCAACAGGTGATCTTGTTTAAGCATACCCTGTCTAGTGGACAACATCTGCCATGTAAAACCTCACTACCATGATAGTTCTGATGCAAATAATAACAATCTGATTCAAATACACATCTATATTTCGTTTGGTTTTTTATACTTCCGATGGCCTACACTACATGAAGATCTGACTGGTTGTAGTGGGAGCTTGTGTCAGGGGTCATACGAGTGGCTTTTGACCCTATGACATCACATATTTCTAGTGGGATACCCACAGTTCCATGCACTGCACACCAAGAAATCGCGGTAACAGACCATTTCATTGGCTAATCCCTCAGATCACCCAGAAATGAAAATGAAATGAAATGGGGTTTAACGTCCTACTGTTCTGCTCCTATACTGGGCTAATGAAGACGGGCATACGCCATACAGTGTGCTATGAGGGAAATTTTGCCCGGGCAGCGGCACTATCGCCTACCCTTATATCGAATTCCAACTGCCAAGGTATCTTTTACGTGCATTCCAATGTTTACACGGGACCTTGGTTTTCCGTATCATCCGAAGGACTAGACAGCTGTCCTTGTCAGGCCCTCCGTCCTGCATCATTGACAAGGGGAAACCACGCCGGAAAATCTGAATGAACTTTCTCGGCCAAGTTAATTACAACTCTATATGATATTTCTGCCGGTATAACTGTTTAATTTAAGATGTTGTACATCTCTATATTCTTTTAAAAAAACAACTTAAAACCCTGTTCTATTTAATCAGGCTTTTAACTGACTCTGTATACAATTGTTAACATGTCCATAATCTTGTTGTTTATTTACGATTACATGTCACCTTGTAAAGTGCCCCTGAACATGTTTATATGAAAGGCCGCACTATAAATATACTGTAATAATAATAATAATGTGATTTGAGGTATGAGTTACTTACGACTCTATATAACGTTTCTGCTACTTCTTTATGACCGTTTAACGCGGCCAAATGTAACGAAGAAAAACCATCATCTTTCTTTATATCAACAATTTGAGGACATTTCTGTAAAATTCTCTTGGTAGCACTGAAATATAAAATTAACACAAATTGTTAAAATCTAATAGAATCTAAGTATGAGGAATATAAGTACGGGATCTAATGACAGGATCATACATAGATTACACACAGGGGTTTCGTCCATACAGTGTGCTTTGAGGGAAATGACTAGACAACTGTCCTTGTCAGGCCATCTGTCCTACATCACTGACAAGGAGAAACCACGGCACCAAAGGCTGCCATTCAGTTTCACCGAACATAATTGATTAGTAAATTACAGTAAAAACAGAAACGATTGGATGTAAATCAGTAATTTCTAATCAGTTATGTTCAGTGAAATTGAATGGCAGTCTTTGGTGTCTGGTTATTCCAGTCTAAACCAGTTGTATTCTGTCCCGCAGGATATGTTTAGCCTCATTCATTGAGTCTCTTCATATTACATTATTATATGTTTTGCGACCCATTTGTGTCCATTTCTAGGTCCCAAATATTAGTGATTTAGCTCCTTTAATCAAAACGTTTTCTTCAAACAAACTCAGAAAAGAATATTTTAGAAATTTAAGAATGAAGGAAGTAAATAAATTTTACTTACACGTTGTTTCCCTTTAAGGCAGCGTGATGTAAAACGTTAAAACCACGATTATTTTTAAGTGTAAAGTCAATACCAGGATAGTTGACTAACATATCAATAATTTCTTGACTATCTTTACCAATAGCATCATGTAGAGCTGTATCACCATACGCATCCTGCACACAGAAAGAAAGAGGAGTTTAATAGTCACTCGTTACAAACTAGATCATTTTGAGACTAACATATGGTTCAATTTTATCTCAATAATTCGCTTGCACGTTGGGGTCTTTAGCAGTGGGAGGGAACTGGAGGAACTGGAGTAAACCCACAAGGCTCGACAGGCGACCCTACTCTTTGTCACATACAAGCACTGAATCGAAACCACGCCACTAGACTTAAGAGAGAGAGAGAGAGAGAGAGAGAGAGAGAGAGAGAGAGAGAGAGAAATGGAGTTTAATGTCCACTCAACACAAACTAGGTCATTTCGGGACTAACATCTGGATCAATTTTACTTCAATAATTCGTTTGTGCGTAGGGCTCTTTAGCAGTGGGAGGAAACCGGAAGACCCAGAGAAAACACACAAGGCTGAACAGGCGACCCTACTCTTTGTCACGTACAAGCAGGGAATCGGAACCATGCCAGTTGACTCAATGATAAAGTGCGCACATGCTAAACATCCAACCCCCCCGTGGGGAATCGAAACCGCGCCACTTGACTCAACAATATAAATAGAATAGCCTTGAGTCTATATTTAACAGGCTAGTCACTAACCTGTATATTGACATTACATCCACATTTAATTAAAGCTTTAACACAGTCCAGATGTTGTTTGTTGACGGCCACATGTAAAGTACTACAACCTCCTTTATTTAACGCATCAATCTCAGCTCCACGACTTAATAATATCTCCATTACTTCTGACTGATTCCTACACAAATTAAAAATCACATATTATCTTATCATTGTATAATTACTTCTGACAGATTCCTAAATAAATTAAAAAGATAGGTTGCCAAGCAACAAAATATACGCCCACAGCAACTTAGTTGTTCGGGCCGTCGCATATATTTTTTTATCGGTTATGAAAACATTTAAAACACATGAAAACTTGATTAAGAGTAACAACCCATTAAGTAATCAGATGGACGGACGGACGGACAGATGGACGGGGGCGATGACAATATACAACCACATTTCAATGTATTTTGAATTCATGATTTAAACACATATTATAACCATTGTATACGTCGAAACTCAGGGGAAATTGTAGATACTTATGGTTTTTTATGGCCAGTTCGATGAATCAGTTTGTTGTTAGTTCTCCCTCGGCATAAATTACAGTTGTCATGAACATAAAACAAACAGTTACATTACAAAATGGTGATCACTCTCTATTCAAGTAGCTTTATTAGAGTGAATTGAGATATCTAATCACCACTGTATAGATTTCAAACGATTTTAAACTTTTATTAACTCAGATGAGCCAAAAAAAACCCCCCATTGCTGTGTATGTAAAAGCACTTTTTGAATTAGAAATAAGAGCAGGACGTAGCACTGCTGCCCTGGTAAAATTACCCTCATAGCATTCTGTATGGTCGGTTCTGATAAGTAGGGCGTTAAAACCCTATTTCATTCAATAATATTTGGTCTTACCCGAAAGCTGAATAATGTAATGCCGTATCGCCATCTTCATCTTGTAGTTCAAGATTAGCGCCATTTGCAAGTAATAACGCCACAATATCACGGTGACCCTGATGACTAGCAACTTGTAAAGCTGTTTTACCAGAACTTAATTCATTAACCTAGAAAACAATAAAACCAGTCAAATATAGGAGTACATAGAGTCACTAGGATCTGGGCTGTGAATTCCTTTTTACATCTTCTGAACTGACCTCGCAATCACGACAGGCATTATTACAGGTTAGTTTATTAGGTACAATTTATTTGTGATATCACACTCACTGGAAGCAGATGTTAGGTAACATGCTGGGCCAAATTTGTTGGTGTTAATTTCATAAAAAAAAAAAAAAACCTGAATGAGAGAGAGAGAGGGGTTTAAAGTCCACTTGACACAAACTAGGTCATTTTGGGACTAACATATGGTTCGATTTCATTTCATTAATTTGCCTGCACATAGGGATCTTTAGCAGTGGGAGGAACCCGGAGAAAACCCACGCAGTTGGACAGACGAAGACCTGAATGAAATAAAGATTTATAATACTCTAATTGATACCCACCTTTTCTTGATGTTTTGTAATTATTTCACGAACGATATCTAGATGACCTTGAGCTGCTTCACGAACCAATCGATCTGGTCCCGTCTCTTTTCCCGTATTTATATGAAAATCAGAAAGCTGATCCATCAATGTTGTCATTGAAGCTGTAGAAAGGAAAGAAAAATTAGTCTTAACGTCGATGAACACCATGCAAACTAAAGGAGGTAAGTCTTTAACTCAGTATCATCTGAAGTCTTCAACACTGCAAACACAATTCATTGGTCAATTTGGGCTTCTGATATTCAATATTTTAGACAAAATGAAAATTATAAAATTGACACATGAATCGCGTGCCAGAATGCTTTCGAGCGCCATTTGTAATGAAGCGACTCAGTGAACGAGGCTAACCATATCCCACAGGAGAATACTACCGGTTTAGACTAGAATAATAAGACGCCAAAGACTGACATTCAATTTAGACTATTCGCCAACCATAACTTATTAGAAATTGCAGTAAAAACAGAAACGACTGAATGTAAATCAGTTTATATACATTCATATTACATGCGTTGCGACCCATTTGTGTCAATTTCTAGGTGCCAAAGAATAGAGATTTAGCTCCTTTAAAAAAGATATGATGAAATGAACAAATGATAAATACATGCCAGCGCCATTTATCAGTCTTGGGCATAATCTATTGTTTTTTCCAAATTCTTAACCATGGATTTGATATTGAATGAATGTAAAAGAAATTAGAGTTAAATACACAAGATTAAATGATACCCGTGGTTACAGTGTATGCTAATTACCAATTTCATCAATTTATTTATGTAATGGTCGACATAATGTGATTTATGTAATTGTTGTAATAATGTGATTTATGTAATTGTTGTAATAATGTGATTTATGTAATTGTTGTAATCATGTGATTTATGTACTGACTGTTATAATGTGATTTATGTAATGGCTGTTATAATGCGATTGATTTAATTGCTGTAATAACGTGATATATGTACTTGTATATTTGCAGTAATAATGTGATGTTTGTAATTGTATATTTGCTGTAATGTGATGTTTGTAAGCTGCTACCTGTGGATGTTTTATCTTATCTTACCATTTCTTTCTAATTCATCTCTCTCCAGACCCTGATTACCCATCGTGTTGTTCATCTCCTGTTCACCATGTGGTATTATCGTACAACACGCAGGATTAAACGTCCACGTTATATTACCAACTTGTACGCGTAGATCACCATCTTGATATATTTTCACAACTTGACCCTTTTTACCCAATGTCTAAAAAAACAAACAGTTATTACCTGTAAGGTGTGTGGGACCAATCCTAGTCTAACTAATTGCAAAAAGGTTGCCAGGCAACATAACATACGCCCACAGAAGCTATGATGTCCTAGCAGTCCACAAAATTTTTGCATATTCATTATTTTTGTAGGTAAATGGAGCATTTAAAAGACACCAATACCTGATCATGCGAGAAACAACTCATTATTTGATTAAGAAATATTCCAAAGTAATCAAGGGCCATAAATTGTTAAAATATCAATAGGCTTCTTCGTCTCATGACAATAAACACTGTGCATAAATTAAAAGTCAGATATTTGCGTCTAGAGCGTCCACAAAATATTTTAAAGTGATCAAGGGCCATAACTCTGGCAGTAATTATCAGAAATCAATGAAAATCAATAGGATTCTTCGTCCCATGACAATAAACACTGTGTATAAATTTGAAGTCAATCAGATATTCTCATATCAAATTCTCCTCACTTAATTCTGTTCAGATATTTTAGACTAACGATCTAGGAACGTAGATGGTGTAACGTACCTGTTTCATATTTTCTGTCCAATCACCATGATCTTTCTGTAATTCTTTAACTATCTTCATGTCATCGTTTATCTTCACAAAATCACCTGCTCCAAATCTCATTACCTGAATAAAACAATAATAATGAGCTATGAGGCATCGAAAACAGCTGATTTATTCAGGCGACGTTACGAAGAGTATTCTCTCAACGTTATCACACTAATACAGTTATATAAGAAAGTGAGGCAAATATATACAGAAAAACTATAACAACAATTCATGAAACCATACAGGACAACAAAAAGTTCAAAGGACTCTAAGAGGATGATAATCTAGAAAAACTAACTGAATAGCTTGATAACGTTGAGAGAATACTCTTGGAAACGTCGCCCAAGTAAATCAGTAACTGTTTTTTCCATAAGTATGTGTTGTAGTTTATTTATCTACCCAGTTACTAAACACCTCTCAAAGAATAATACTTATCTGAACCACTGTGGCTCAGTGAGTAAGATGTTGGCTCGCTAACCAGGCTGTCCCGTGTTTGATCCTTGCATTGGCCAAGGAAGTTCACTTGAATTTCCCCAGATTGTCGCACTATCGTCGTTGCGACATTGTTTTTAAATTTATAGACAAAGAATAGAGAAATAAGATGACTTTATATTTCATTAATTAATATATTTGGCAAATTGATAGTTTCACACATATTCACATATATATTATATATAGTGTGTACTAAATCAACTTAGTCTGTAATTGACAGTTGACACATAAAAAGAGCTATTTAGCCAAAACATGTGTCAATAATATACCACCAAATTACACGTGAGTGGAATTATTCTAATTGCGTCATTGGGTTTAATTTAACCAATCATATCGTTAATTGCACAGGTTCAGGGCCATGAACAGGCTTTCTGTGCGTGCTATGCCGGAGTCTTATAAAAGAAATCATAGTAAAGTTTTAAGTTAGATTACAGAGAGGTTCCATCTGAGTTCGTAGACAGCCGCGAGGCTGGCTAGGGTTGAGAAATGGTTTTAGCTTGTATTGTAATCTGTGCTTGTGTACATGTATTCGGCTATGCTATACAAAATGTAGAAGTGAACTGTTGCATTGTTATTCCTGGTAAGACAAACGTCTTAAGAATATGTAAGAAGTAAATACACAACGTGAAGCAGAAGTAAAGACAGCTAGAAACAAATTCTAGACGATCACAAGGCTACAGAAATATGTAGTAAGAAAAGGTGCATGGGTCGTATGTAGGATGTGGCGACCGGTTTCAATGCCCGCTCTCCACGTCTGACAAAAGACCTATGGTACTACAAGTGTGGTTCCCCCTTGATAGTGGTGTAGGATGGAGGGCCTGGCACGGACAATGTATAGTCGTTTGAATTGGACGAAAAACTGAGGTCACGTGTACACCTTAGCATGCACGTAAAAGAAATCGTGACAATTGGGATTTTATATAAGAGTAGGCATTAGCACTGCTGTCCAGGCAAAATTTCCCTCATCGCGGATGCTTGTCTTCATTTTTCCAGTCGGAGCAGAACAGGACGTTAAACCCCATTTCATTCCTTTTATATACATGCCAACAAGTATATTGGACCTTGCCAGATCCTGCGTCCTGAACCACTGACCAGGGAAGGCCACATTGAAAAAAAATTTACAAACATTTTTCCATGTTGGGTGTATTGTTATGTGGGTTTAATCCCACTGGGGGTGTCACTATTTCTCAATCTTTAACTCTCAATAAAGAAAACACCATTCAATGATCCACATGTTTATTCTCTTCCCCCAAGGGCAGATCACTCATACAAAGTAGAAACATCAATAATTCTTTTTATAAATCAAAGGCAAAGACAGTTAAAGGGAGGTAACTCTTTCAAGCTTAACTAAGATTCAGACCACAATTAACTACTTATGTAACTAGACTTATCACTATATAACATCCCTCCCTCCTAAGTCAAAAACACAGTTTTTGGAAAAAATAGTTTGACAATACATATCATCTATGTTTGTATAAGTGCTTAAAAATACTAATGTGTAACATATATTACAAGGCATGAAACTTTGAACAAATCAAAGACATCAAAAAAAATGAGTAAACAAATCAGAATAGGTTTATTCAAGTGCTCCAAAACCCCCAAAAGCATGTAGTATATATTACCAAGAAAAGATTGCTCTAAAATATGCGATACAGGTGGGTCTATGAATAAACACGATTCAGAGATGTTAGAATAACACTTATGTTATAATCCTCAAATGAATGTAAAACAATAATTATTATAACAAGGTTTGATATTTGCTTAGGCTACCAGTTACTTGTAGTTTATTATCATTGATAAGTCCATTGGCTACATTAAACAAAACAGGAGATGAGTTAACTGGTATCCAGGAAGAAGTTTGACCTTTCTTGACATTAGAGGTAGTTATCAAAACTTGCAATGAACCACATTTGAACCTAGCTTTATGCAGTTCCATAGAAGACACATTAGACATTTCCTGTAACATCTTACATTGTTCTGATAACTGATAGTGTGATAACTTATCTACATAAGCAATATTATGATTATTTGTACTATTTGGAAGATAATGACAAATATTAATAGGATTTGTAGACCTATTAGAAACAATATCACTCTCATCAAATCTAGGTAAGATAACATCACATTCATCCGTAATGAAACATTGATTAGTTTCAGTTAAAACAGTAAGATTGTCATTGTTAGGAATATTACCTAACTCTTTCTGAAGTTGATCAATGTGGGTAATTTTTGTCTCAAAATTAGGAGACCTAACAAAACATGGTTTTAACCGATTAATCGAATAGACGTCCTGTAGGACCTTACCATCCAACGTAGAGAGAACGTAATGGGTTCGATCAAGAATTTGATGCACAACCAAAGGACCACACCAATCAGCTTTGATTTTACGTGAATTTGAAGTAAGGCTTGATGATGACGGTTTGAGTACATAAACTAACTGGCCCAATCCGTAAATAGGATTTTTACTGAGGGTGTGTGCAATACTGATATTCTGAGATTCCTGTTGACATCTTTGTAATTCAAGCATAGTCTTAGAAATATGATCAAACTTGTCCTTTAAATGGGAAACATACTCGAAATATGAACGACAAACTCCATCGAATTGCCAACGAAGATGGGTAAGGTTTTTGGGCTTCTTACCAAATACCAACTCGTAAGGGCAAAAGTCACCTAACTGTGGTGAAACAAAAGAATTGTAAGCATAGCAACAGGGAGACACATATCTGACCCAATCAGTTCCATACTGATTTAAGTTAACCTTGAGAAAATCAGAGATTGATCTAATGTGGCGTTCTGCCAGAAGACTACCATGATTTGCAACACTAATTACTTTTTGACTAATACCAAGTGTTGTACAAAGAGAGGTAACCAATTTTCCGATGAAACTTGCAGCTGCATCTGTTACTATGACAGATGGGGGACCAAAGAGACAGACTACTTTCTGGATTAAAGCTTCACACACTGTTTCGGCGTCAACTGACTTAGTTGGGACGCAAATGATGAAGCGAGTAATCTCATCACATATAACTAGAAGATGCTTAAAACCAGAGATGGATGCAGGCATGCTTTTGAAATCAATACTAAGTTTGTCAAAAACATTGTATTCTTCAGGTATCCTAGGATGAAATGTTCTGGTTTTATCTGTCTTGGGTTTGAATTTCTGGCAAGTAGAACATGTATTAATGTACTGTGCGATCCTCTGAAACATGTTGGGAAAGTAGAAGAGCTTTCGCATAGTCAAATAAGTCCGAACTATTCCCTGATGATTACACAACTGGCTATCATGATACTGATGTATCAAATTTGTGCACATTGACTCAGGAATGACAAGTTGAAGAGTAAAGCGATCATCCTTGGGTAGGAGAAGACGAAATAAAATATGCTCTGCTAAAATGTACTCTTCTGCTTGGAGTTTGAGACGTTTCGCAGCTTTGCGATCACTGGGCAATATATTGTGGGACAAATAATCATAGATAGGCTTAAATTGGGGAGAAGACGCTTGTTCAAGCCGAAGCTTATTTTGATCGAATGTCAAATTATAGTCTCTGATGATTTTACGCTTAATAACATTGTACAACTTATCCAATTCAGCTTGTCTTGGGAAATGATTAGTGACCAGCCGTTCACAATTGTGGATGAGGGGTTTGGGAGGAATACAGAGATCAATGGGAGTATCACCATCTATATCAATGTCTACTGATTTATCGACCAGACGAGATTCAGGTATAGAATCATTAGAGGAAGATACTTGTGTGTCGGCGAGAACTGGTGGTGGTTTAGGTGGGACAGCATTCTGGCTTGGTTGGCGTATATAGGGAAGGGGAATGGAAGAGTTCTGTTGAGATTTTGACTGGTGAGTTCTAGAATTCCTTGACTGTGAAGAGATATTATTGGAAGACACAATGGAAGAGGGGATTTCAGTTGAAGTACTAGAAGTTGGTTGACTAACGGTAGTAGTGCGTGTGGAAGGTTTGGGGAAGAGTTCGGGAATGGCGATTTGCTTCTGTTTTGCATATTGCCGTGTAACCGGGCGACTTGCTGACTGAGTAACAGGAAATGCGAGCTCAGAAAGGGTAAAAGCAGTGGGCACAACTTGATCAATTTCATCGTCTGTATCAGTTGAACTCCTTGATAAGAAATCTGCTAAGACTAATTCAGTTCCCTTTTTATAGAAGATTTTGAATGAATATTGGGATAGTTTGACAATTAACTTAGTGAGACGTTGAGAACAAGGCTCTTTCTTGGAGTACAGAAGTTGAACTATTGCAGAGTGGTCAACATAAGCAGTAAACTCAACTCCTTTGAGTAAGTACTGGAAATTTGTGATGTTTATGAGAAGACCAAACATTTCCAACTCGGTAACACTGTAATTCTTACATGCCGGAGGTAACTTCTTAGAATAATAACCCAATATGCGCTCCTTACCATTTATGATTTGTGTAATGTACGATCCAGTAGCTGATCGAGATGTATCGCTATAGAGACTCAAGGGACCATTTGCAGTCGGGAGGTACAAAACAGGTGGGTTAGTAAGAAGATATTTTACATCTTGAAAAGCCTTTTCATGTTCTTCGGTCCATGAAAATTTAGATCTCTTGGAAGAAATCTGATGAAGGGGCTGCATAACTTCTTGTAGCCTTGGCAGAAAGTTTGAGACATAGTTAACGGCTCCTATAAACCTGCGAACTTCTTTACTAGACTTAGGACGAACAAGATGTTGAATTGCCTGGCAACGATTTGCCAATGGTTGGAGGGTAACAAGTCCTTCGTTATTAATCTTAATTAAATGACCCATGTACACAACTTGATTTCTGAAGAACGAACATTTACGAGGAGAAATCTTCAGTCCATTATCAATAAGTGCTTGAAAGACAGCCTGTAAGTGACTACTGTGTGACTGGACATCCTTACTAAATACAATGATATCGTCGTGATGAGCAATACAGTAATGACGGCTGTCAGGTACTTGAGAGAGAATCCTATCAATTTCGGCTTGAAAAATAGCAGGGGATACACTTAAGCCTTGTGTTAAGCGCTTGAAGTAAAAGTGGCGACCTCCGTGATAAGACGATATACCCGTGTATTGTTGAGCATTTTGTGAAAGGGGCATAGAAAAGAAAGCAGACTTAAGGTCAAGGCAGCTGATAACTGTGGGTTTAGCATGACCAATTCTTTGCAAGGTAGATGATAATAAAGGGAATGGATGGTTATACCTCTTAATGCGCTTATTTAAGTGACGAAAGTCAACTACAACACGTTTATCTGTAGTTCCCTTTTTAGGGAGAATTAAAACAGGAGAGGTGTACGATTGGTGACCCTCGGCGATAATACCCAATTTTACTAATTTATCAAGTTCAGCATCGATAACCTCTTTATCTGATTCAGTGGTATGATATGGACGAATATAAAATGGACGAGGGTCATTAACATTAATGTCAACTTCAATGTTAGAACAATGGCCAATCTCACCATAAAGACTGAATGCTTCTCTGCTTTGGGATAGTTGTCTTTGAAAATCTTTCTCCTCATTAGGTGACAAAATACAATTATCATACAAGTTAATTTGCTGTTGTAAAATCTCATCTTCTGATAACTGCAATAAAGGATCATCCTTCTTAAGGTGGGAATATTGTTCTGCACGTTGAACAAAATCTGAGGAATCACACACAAAAACAGTACCTGTGTTGAAATAGAACAAAGGATGAGATTGCCTAAGGTGAAGAGTTTTACTACCAGGGTTTGATATGGGAACAACAGCTCTGTTACGCTGTAAAGTAGCGAGTATAAACGATGAACATGTGTTATCTGATCTCTTCTGAAGAAGGACCTCACGATTCCTATAAAGACCTGGGACATGACCATATAAGGCGACATAGCGTGTATGACCTGGCTTAATGTACACATTGTGTGTTGGGGAAAAGTTGACTCTTTTAGGCTTACACCGAAATACATTATCCTCAAAATGTAAGGAACCTTGTAACTCTGATAAGGTATCCTGACCAAAAATAAGATCAATGCCCACTAAATGTGGGGCAACATAAACCTTTAAATGAAACGAATAACCTTGAATAACGACTTGTATAAACATGAAAGTTGAACAACTTAACATTTGACCATTACCCATACGAAATTCCAAACATTTTTCTAACTTATGTACAGGTAAACTTGACAAATAAGGAGAAGAATTAACAACGGATTGTGAAATAAGTGATTTAGAAGCACCACTATCAAATAAAATAAGCACAGATTTTCTATCTGATAAACTACCCTTACAGTAATTAAAGGGACTTAACTGAAGAATGACATCCGAGTTAATGTCCTTTGAAACATGTTTGGCTAGATGATTGAGTTGGGGGAATATTTGTGGAGCATTATTATCAAATATTCCCCTATTCAAAAATCCTTGCGAGAACTATGTGTGCGTTGATCTGAGCGTTGTGGCCTAGATGATCCACCAGGTTGTCGAAAACCCTGTCTGTCAACAGCAGAAGGCTGCGACTGAAAATCTGACGTATAAGGTGACTGATAACTAGTAGGGTTGAAAGAGTGTGACAAATGTCTACGCCTACTCATAAGATCATCTTGCCGAGCAAAACAGGATCTCCATGTGTGACCCGGATTGAGGCAATAATCGCAAAATATAACACGCCTCGACTGACGTATTGGACTGTTATTTCTAAAGGGTGACTGTGAATTGCGCAGCCTAGAATTTGAGGGACTTTTAGGTCGTTGAACCCGGAAAGGTGAATGAGATTTGTCTCTGCTGGAATCAGAATGTGCTGGGGTTCTCCTTTGGGGACTATGGGAATTCTGGGATTGCAATCGTAAACTGGACAAATTCTCAGACAAATTAAAGGAAACCTCTTTAACAGCTGTAGTTGGTGATGAATTACTACCCACATCAAAATAGCGTTGAGCTTGAAACGCAAGTGCTTGTGCAGTTGTGTCATCTGAACTTGCCATAATAACAGCCTGTTTACAGTTGGTTGGTAAAATAGATATAAATTTATCCCTAACTTGTGACAAATTATAACCTAACTGATTCGCTAATTTCTTGATTTTATCTAAATTGTCACTAGGTGACAATGAACAATCATATTGAATATTGGAATATTGGCTACACAATCCAAGTTTAGTTTTAGTTGAGGAATACTTGTCAATGAACTGGTCTTTCAAACTAGCGTAAGAATCAAATTCAATGTCCTCTATCCAAAGACGAGCCTTGCCCTTGAGCGATTGCTTAAACAGTTGTGATATGTGCTCAAATTCTTCATCGTCAATAGCAATATCTTGATGGTTGAGGTAATCCTCAAAGCTAAGAATGTGGGCTCTTGCAGTATCCCTATCAATAACAGACCCATCGAACCGATCAATCATTTTCTCCATTGCAGATAATAAGAAGAGAAATATTAGGCCAAAAAATAACATAAAAGAATAGGCCTACACTTAAATCATAAAACTTAAACCTGAAAAGAAATTTTGATTAGTAACATGCAATTGATTCCTACAAGAAAACAAATATTACATATCAAGGAGTTGACAATATAGTTTTGGACAAATTGACTAAATATTACTAAACAGTTCTGTAAATTAAATTAATAGTTTTATAAAACACAGAATATCAAATTAATGTTGTTATAAAAGCTAAAATGGATGAAAATGTCACTGCACTCCTTTCGAAACAGCACATGTAACAGGAATCGCTAGGGAGTTGAAAATGAATCAAATGTCACTGGACACAGCACACATTCAATGATTTTAAAAACTGGAAGTTGAAATTGTTCAGCTTGTAAATAAGATCTGATCTGAGCTCATCTACACAAAAGTTTGTAATCATTTTCATTCGTCATCATTCATATTACTGCATCTTTGCTTTAATGTTTATAAAAGGCATGACAGGCTAAATTAGGTCTAACTGATTCTTGGCAGTGTTCATGTCTAGATCTAGGCTAATAATTCAATGAAGTGGAATACTACAAACGAACTAGGATACCTCACCAAAATTTCACAATGAAAATGATAAAAATGTTCTTGAACAAAGTCAAACTGCAACCACAAATAGGCACAATAATTGTCTTTTCGCACAATGACAATGCGAATATTCACAGTGATAGGCCTAATTAAGCTGTAAGCAGCCTGAAAAGTTAAAGCTGGGCTTGACTCAAACCAGGCGAGTTTGGCTGGCACAAAATAAAAATCAAATCCAATTCAATCAAAGAAAAGTCATGGCATCCACTCAAATTCAATGACTATAAAGTTACTTCAGGGAAAGATCTGGCATCTCCACCATGTTATGTGGGTTTAATCCCACTGGGGGTGTCACTATTTCTCAATCTCAATAAAGAAAACACCATTCAATGATCCACATGTTTATTCTCTTCCCCCAAGGGCAGATCACTCATACAAAGTAGAAACATCAATAATTCTTTTTATAAATCAAAGGCAAAGACAGTTAAAGGGAGGTAACTCTTTCAAGCTTAACTAAGATTCAGACCACAATTAACTACTTATGTAACTAGACTTATCACTATATAACAGTATAAAAACAAATGAATTTTCTCCTCTGACAACCAACAAGGATCGACTGGGATCTCCTGATTAGCAAGTCAGCACCTTAACTACTGAGTGTTAATCTAATCTTTACGTGACATTTAGCGATTGAGAAACACATTAACAGAACACATTTTATATGGGAGACAATCACTGGTTTTATTCTAAAAGCACAACGTTTCGACAAGTATTCTCTTATCGTTATCAAGTACGTTGTGTTTTTAGAATAAAACCAGTGATTGATTTACTATAGAAATTGTGTATTGAGCCAATCAATTACCAATATAACATGATTATAGAAGATATATTGTGAATTACCTTTTTTAATGCCCCAGGATGAAATGTCCATCTATTTGTACAATTATCATATTGTACTCGAACATCTCCTCGTTCTGTTATTCTATGTACTGTACCAACTTTAGCTACATACTGTTAATATAAATAATATTTATATACAGTCAATAAATAATATATCAATAATTATCAACTTTACCCACTGTCAATAAATAATAATCAATTTTGGTCCAAAATAATTGGAACAAACTGTATATACCCAATTATTTTTGTAACCAGTTGCGACAAAAGGTAACCAGGCAAAACACGTTTCTTGGGAAATATTACCTAAACATTCAAACTTATATTAATAGACTTACTTCTGCCATTCTTGGGTTCCAGCCCCCATGACCTTCTTGCATAGCCTTGAGTAACTCTGGGTCAAGGTCACATATGACTTTATCGTTGACCTTGAATTGACATGGTACTCCAGGTAAAATTGTTTCTGTAAATTCTCCTAAACAGAGAAATAAAAACAACCCAACAATTAGAGAAAGTAAAGACAATGGACACCACAGAAAAAAGTAAGCAATTGTAGAACTACATGAAACAAATCAAATAATATAGTAATGTGATCATCCTGTAACCATCCGTTGCTTTTGGAGTTTTCATTTTACCAAATTGAATGATAATTGTAGCATAAAGAAACATAACTCTGGATCAGTATTGATCTAAAATCAATAGGAATCTTCCTTTCATCCAACCGAACAAATTTCAATGCGATAAAATGAAAATTGTTATCAAGGTTCAATATCAAGGGGTATAACTCTAGGTCAGACATTGTAACTTTAACTTACCTAATACAGGTAAATGATCGGGATAAAAATCTCCGCCATCAGCAGCTTGAATATATTTAATGTCCACCTTCCCTTTATGTCCGACCCTATAAACATTAGTAGAACCAGACCCCCATGTCACATGAGCGACACTTCGTCCCGATTCAGAATCCCAACCACGGATATCTGTTACCCTTCCTACCTTCCCTTCACCTCCTGTAAAATAAAAACACAAAACAAAAATAAAATGAGGGAAATTTTGCCCAAAAAGGAACATTATCACCTGTACTCTTTGTCAGATTCCAATGGGTGCTATTAGTACGTGCACTACCGTGTAAATGGAACCTTGGTTTTGTTTTTGTCCCATCCAACCCCTGAGGTTCTGGTTAGTGAGCCGAGGGAGAGAAATGGGGTTTAACGGCCAGTCAACACAAACTAGGTCATTTCGGGACTAACACATGGTTCAATTTTATTTCAATAATTCGCTTGCGCATAGGGGTCTTTAACCAACACCGAGATTCAACTCCTGACGATCTCGTTAGCGAGCCAGCATCTTACAGACTGAACTAACTATTTCAATAACTCACTTATGCATTAGGATCTGTTAAGGTTCGGCAGGTGACCATACTCCTTGTCGTATACTAGGCATGAAACAGGTTGGTATAAATCCCAATGTTCTTATTTTATTAATAGATTAGCTCGATACTTACCATCTTGATTACCCCAGTCCCAATCTGGACCCCTCACAACCCTCGCTTGGTTAAATATTCCATATAATTTCATTTTACCACTTAATCCTCTCTTTGCCACTTTTATACTGAAAAATTTGAAAATAAAATGATGATAGGCCACCAGAGCTTGAAATAGTTGCATAGAGAGAGAAATAGAGAGAGAGAAATGGTGTTTAACATCCACTTTATCCAAACTAGGTCATTTCGGGACTAAATTGTATTTAAATAATAGGCTTGTGCGTAATGATCTTTAGCGGAAACCAGAGGACCCAGAGAAACCCACGAGGTTCGACAGGCGACTCTACTCCTTGTCAAGTACATATACAATCAGGGAATCGAAACCACGCCAATTGACTCAATGACAGACCTTATGATTTCACACGTTAAAGCACTAGACCACCCAAACAGCCTATTTAAATACAGAACAGAAAGTCTCAACACAACAAACAAGGGTTCTTTAACACACACGGCTATCAATACCCAGGACCACAGTTTTCCATCCTATCTGAACAACTAGACACTATCCTTGCCTGGCACTCCATCCTGCACCATGGGAGTGAACGTGCGACCTTCTGGTTAGTGAGCCAGCGTCTTACTCACCGAGCCACAACGTGAAGGGAGAGAGAGGGAAATGGGGTTTAACATCCACTCGATATAAACTAAGTCATTTCAGGACTCACATATGGTTAAATTTTATTACAATAATTGGCTTGCGCGTAGCGTTCTTTAGCAGTGGGAGGGAACCGGAGGACCCGGAGAAAACCCACGAGATTGGACAGGAGACCCTACTCCTTGTCATGTACAACAATCGAGTAGAAACCATGCCAGTTGACTCTATGATAGACCTCAGGGTACAGCACACATGTACTAACCATTCGGCCATCCACCCCCCCCCCCCCACAACATGAAAGAGATTATGTTGTAACTTACCCTTTAGAGGATGCTGAATCTAAACGTAGAAAGGAATGAGCCAAGTCATGTTTATCAGCCATATAACATAACGTACACAGATCAAAATCACGACATTTATTACACTTCCACCTCATTCCCTGTATACCTTGTTTACGACATGAGTCACAGATTATATTCGTATGTTTTACACCTAAAAATATAAATAAACAATAATATATTTATAAATAAAAGAAAGATGGTATCTATATAAATAAACAATAATATATCTATAGAGAGAGAGAGAGTTTAACATCCTACTGTTCTGCTCTGAGTTGGCCAATCAAGATGAGCATACGCCATACAGTGTGCTATGAGGGAAATTTTGCCAGGATAGCGGCACTATGGTGTACTCTTATACCAAATTCCAACTGACAAGGGATCTTTTACGTGCATGCCAATGTGTACAAAGGAACTCGTCCCATCTGACCGACTAGACAACTATCCTTGTCAGGCCCTTTTATAGATATAAGAAAGATGGTATTTATTATAAATATATAAATGAAATGGGGTTTAACATCCTACTTTTCTGCTCCGACTGGGCAAATGAATACAGACACGCAGTGTGCTACATGTATATGAGAAATTGTGCCAGTCAGCGGAGCTACAGCCTACTCTTTACATGTATTTCGAATTCCAATTGTCAAAAATTCTTTAAAGTATACGCCAATGTGTACACAGGACTTCAGATTTTTGTCCCATCCCAACAACTATACATTGTCCTACACCACTGACAAAGGGGAAAATATAAGATATATTTATAAATTATATATTATAAATACATGTATAAATTATGTATTATAAGATACATGTAGAAATGAAATGGGGTTTAACTTCTCTGCATGGACTGGGGAAGTATATAAATATTAGGTAGTAAGCATAATTATAAATAGACAAAAATAATGTGTAAATTATAACATGTTTTATCCGCAAGGGTTATGCTTAAAGCGTGATCCAATTACTACAGCGTAAAACCTGATTACCTCCCTTAAAACAAACTTTAAATTTCACAAGAAAAAAAAACCCCAAAAACCACAGAACATATAACTGTGTTTCTGTGTATTACAGTCATTGTGTACCAAAAATCTGTCAAATTTATAAAATATATCAGAATGAAATAGGATTTAAAAGTACTGTGAGTAGAACCATGTGATTAATACAGTGTACTGCAGGTATATGAAATGAAATACATTGATCCATCAAACAAGGAAGAATGTCAAGCGAGACAGTTTATAAACATTAAGTTAACATTAGAAAGATCTATTGAAGTGAACATTTCTTTAGCTATTCATTCATATTATAATTTTATTTCAAATTAATTCACTCAAGTGAGCATGTTTCAGTTACATGTACATGTATGTTGTTTTTGAAAAGAACTTCCTTTAATAAAGTCTACAATAAATTAAAGTTACATTATTATGTCGATTGGTGTGTGACAATAATAAACAATATACATATAGTCTGTCTACATCTTCAAGCAGTGATAACTTTGCTCAGAATCAAGAAAATTGACTGAACTGCTTTAGCAAGAACGGTCAGCCCTTTTATCTAAAAAAATATCAGGGGGTTGGATGGCCAAAATGGTTAGTGTGTGTGCGTTGTATCATCATAAGGTCTGTCATTGAGTCAACTGGAATGGTTTTGATTCCTCGGGTTGTACACGACAAGGAGTAGGGTCACCTATCCAACATCGTGGGTTTTCTCCAGGTCCTCCTGTTTCCTCCCACCGCTAAAGACCCCTACGCACAAGCAAATTGTTGAAATAAAATTGAACCATATGTTAGTCCCGAAGTGACCTGGTTTGTGTCGGGTGTCTATCACTATACGAATGATCAGCTCCGTATCTAAATCTTCGATAATACGTCTCTATAAAATAGAGTTAACAATAAGTTAATAGTTGTACACCCAACTTGACAGAAATCTACGAAATTCTTCTATAAAACATTATTTACACCCATTATAACCATCACATAAAAGAAAAACTTGAAATACAAAGTTCACTTTGATGATTTGAGTTAATTCTGTGATGTATTATGTATGTTACTTAGTTGGAGAAGACCCACAATCAAATCACCTTACAATTCATTCAATCAGTTAATTCTTATAGATTCTAAAAATAACTGTACTGTAACTCCTGTACAGTAGTTCAAACTATAACTTTACAATTTTCGGTTTTTGTGCAAGACGTCTTGATTTTGAACGAAATAAAATGGTATTTAACGTCCTACTGTTCTGCACTAATTGAGATGATGAAAAAGAGCATAAGCCATGAATTTCGCTATAAGGGTAATTTTACCTGGCCAGCGTTTTTTCCGCCTACTATTATCGAATTCTAACTCTTACGAAGGACTAGACACAGTTCCTGTCAGTGATCATGTCAAGCAAATTCTAGCGATCACTTCTCGGAATGTAGCGATATCGTAAAATATTGACAGCTGATTTACACACTGTCTTTATACCTGAAACAAATTTAACTTAAATCTGGGGAATTCCCCATTTAAAGATGCAAGATGTAAGAGCTAAATCTTTCTATTGCAGGGCTTTAATTTGGATTCAAATGTTATATAAATTATTATTTAGACATTTATTCACGTGACCAGCTTATAATTAACTCTCTAGACCATCAGATGGCACAGATGTAAACAGACTATAATCAACTCTCTAGACCATCTGATGGCACAGATGTAAACAGACTATAATCAACTCTCTAGACCATCAGATGGCACAGATGTAAACAGACTATAATCAACTCTCTAGACCATCAGATGACAGAGATGTAAACAGACTATAATCAACTCTCTAGACCATCAGATGACACAGATGTAAACAGACTATAATTAACTCTCTAGACCATCAGATGTAAACAGACTATAATCAACTCTCTAGACCGTCAGATGACACAGATGTAAACAGACTATAATCAACTCTCTAGACCATCAGATGACACAGATGTAAACAGACTATAATCAACTCTCTAGACCATCAGATGACACAGATGTAAACAGACTATAATCAACTCTCTAGACCATCAGATGACACAGATGTAAACAGACTATAATCAACTCTCTAGACCATCAGATGGCAGAGATTTAAATAGATTTGAATAAATGGCACATTCGGGGGGGGGGGGGGGGGGGGGAGAGAGAGAGAGAGAGAGAGAGAGAGAGAGAGAGATGGGGTTTAACCTCAACTCAACACAAACTAGGTCATTTTCAGGACTAACATCTGGTTCAATTTTATTTCAATAATTCGCTTGCACGTAGGGTTCTTTATCAGTGGAAGGAAAACCAAGGTTGAACAGGCGACCCTACTACTTGTCATGTACAACCACGCCAGTTGACTCAATGACAGACCTTATGATACAGCGCGCACGTGCTTACCATTCGGCCATCCAACCCCACCGCACATTCAAGGTTTAGCCTCAATTGTCAAGTAGCCTTGCTGCAATAATTAATGATCTACACTATATCTTGAAACAGTTATAACAACGTCTAGAATAAAGTAATTTGAGTTAAATTTTGAATATATTCAATTTGCATTATCTATTTTTGAACTATTATAGTAAAAACGGACAGCTCTTTATCTAAATCTTACACGCATCTTTTAAAAAATCAACTTTCAATTTTCACCCAAATTAACTTTCAATTTTCACCCAAATTAACGAGGTCGAGTCCTTTCAACTTGAACGGCACATTATGGGTAGGTTTTTTTTAATTACATAATAGACTGAAAGCTTGTGTCCATTGACCCATGTACAAAGGATACTCAAACAGTCATATATCATCTATATGTGTCATATATCAGTCAAATTGACTGAACCATGGGGTTTTTATTATACAATAAGAGTATAGCCTCTTTTACGTTGTATTTTTAACAAGAATCAGTGAACTGTCAAAAAGGCTGAACCGTGTCAATACTATAAACTATGACACACATTTATTGAAAAACAGCTACTAATTTATTAGAGAAAGAGAGAGAAATGGGGTTTAAGTCCACTCGAAACAAATTAGGTCATTTCGCGACTACTAATTTATTAGTATTATTAGTAATAATCCTTATAAGACATATAGAGGTAGATTTCACAAATTAAAAACACTTATATGGAAATACTACTTCTGAATTTATTAACATGCTACGTTTTGATACACATACAGATATTGTTATCAAGCATATAACCCTGTATCGAAACTGTAATATATATCCATATAGAAGTGTTTTTAATTAGTAGTATTCTATCAATTTTATCAAACTATCAATACAGTCACCGTAATGTTATTATCATTTACTCAATCATTTAGTAGGAGTTTGAAGGAAGGGTTTCTTTCATTCCCCAGCTTTACTGCACCTTAAGGTTTTATTGGGTGGGTGGCCAATCCGGGGGAGGTGAAAGAAAGAGTTTAAAGACCTTCCTTTCACTCCCTCTACGGTTTACTGGAGTGACTAAGTTGGGGGATAAAAGAAAGGGTTTATAAAGCCCAACCAACATTAGGTCAATATGGGACTAACATATGATCTACCTGCAGTTTATGCCAGCCAGTATAATTTGTTGTCATTAATAAGCTTTTAGTCATGTAATTGTTGATTTAATGCATATTAATTTAAATATTCGTGAACATGTAATATTCTTCAATAAGACCTATTGTCTATTTTCCTTAAAGTTAGTTGCTGTGCTCTCCACTACATGTAACTTTTAACCAAAATTTGAAACAAATGTCTTCACTGCGAATGTCTATACATAGTTCTGTGCACCGCATGCCAAGATCTCTCCATGGATTCCAAAAAGAACATTTCATTGGCTAATCCCTCACATCATCCAGAACATGGGTTCTTAACAACTCTTCCAGATGGTAGGGTAGTAATGACAAGTAAAACGAAATTTTAAACTATAAAAAAACGAAGTGAAATGGGATCTGTGTTTTAACCAGATTGGCAATGATTGGGCTAATGAAGACACACATACACCATGCAATGTGCTCCGAGGGAAACTTTCCCCAGTCAGTGGCAAAAGGCCTATTCTTATTTCGAATTCCACACTGTCAAGAGTTCTTTTACATGCATCTGCACTGACAAAAGGGAACCATGTCTGAAACTCTTGATGAACATTCTGCGGGATCGAACACCCTGACCTGTCGGTTAGTGAGCCAACGTCTTACTCACCAACCCACCACCACCCGCCAAACATATGCACAAATAACAAAACCCAAGTTGATATGTACTTTGAGAGAGAGAGAGAGAGAGATAGGGGGTAACGTCCACTCCACACAAACTAGTTCATTTCGGGACTAACACATGGTTTAATCTTATTTCAATAATTCGCTTGTGCATAGGGGTCTTTACCAGTGGGAGGAAACGTCTTGCACAAAAACCAAAAATTGTAAAGTTATAGTTTGAACTACTGTACAGGAGTTACAGTACAGTTATTTTTAGAATCTATAAGAATTAACTGATTGAATGAATTGTAAGGTGATTTGATTGTGGGTCTTCTCCAACTAAGTAACATACATAATACATCACAGAATTAACTCAAATCATCAAAGTGAACTTTGTATTTCAAGTTTTTCTTTTATGTGATGGTTATAATGGGTGTAAATAATGTTTTATAGAAGAATTTCGTAGATTTCTGTCAAGTTGGGTGTACAACTATTAACTTATTGTTAACTCTATTTTATAGAGATGTATTATCGAAGATTTAGATACGGAGCCGATCTTTCGTGTAGTGAGAGACACCCGACACAAACCAGGTCACTTCGGGACTAACATATGGTTCAATTTTATTTCAACAATTTGCTTGTGCGTAGGGGTCTTTAGCGGTGGGAGGAAACTGGAGGACCTGGAGACAACCCACGAGTTTGGATAGGTGACCCTACTCCTTGTCACGTATCACCGGGGAATTGAAACCATGCCAGTTGACTCCATGACAAGAACTCATGATACAGTGTGCACGTGCTAACCATTCCGCCATCCAACCCCTGATATGTACTTTAAGGATCAGGAATCAAGTAGTAAGTCTGTTAATCAATGAGCAATTGTCCAAGGAATAAAAGAAATACATTTGTAGCACAAATAACAAAACCCAAGCTGATATGTACTTTAAGGACCAGTAACCGAGTAGGAAGTGTCTGTCAATCAATGAGCAATTGTCCAAGGAATAAAAGAAGAACGCGTATTCTATCACTGCGATTATACAAACAGAAAATAGAGACTGTTTAATATGTTATTTTATAAGAATGCGGCCATGAAAGCCTGTGGGATATTAATACTATTGTTGGTGACATGTATAATTTACATCAGTGTGAAGTAACAGACAATACTGGTTCCAGTCTGATAATAAAACTATTTATATTCACAATAAACTTGACTTCCTCTGTCAATTATTAATACGTTAATTTACTCAATTGTGACAACTTCAATCATATAACAATTAACTTCCTTTTATAGAATGGCGGCTTTGTTAAAATTGATTCTAAATGATTTTTAAAAAGGTCCTATCAACACGGAAATCACTTGATTTGATATTTGTTGTTTTTTTGCTTGCAATGTCGGTGTAGTTTGCAATCTGATTAAAACACAGATCCTATTTCATTTTTTACAGTTCAAAATTCTGTTTTACTTGTCTTTACTACACTAGGATCTGGAAGAGTTGTTATATTACCGGCATTTTGGTTGAGGTGAAAGATAATTCAATGAAATGCTCAGTTACGGCGAACCACTAGAAATGTCAACACGTCATAGGGTAAAAAGCCGCTCATACAACCCCTGACACAACCTTCCAGTACAACTTGTCAGATCTTTATGTAGTGTAGGCCATCAGAAGTAGAAAACAATGAAACGAAATATAGATCAACAGGGTGTAAGCAAAAGGTCCTTGCAAAAAGACATTCAAGTAAATTAAAGTATGAAATTTTTAGTATTGGGACAGTGGATTTCAGTAGTTGTTATCGGTCACATTTCCCACAAGCGACCTAGTTGAGTTCACAATGGCGAGGAGCGGAGGTGTAATTGTCTTCACTACGATAGAAAATTCTCTCGGACAAACATACAAATTTATCATACAAATTTTATCCCGACACCGTATCATACTGCTTGGGACACCAGTCGCCGTTTCCAGATGAAGACTGACAGGTTTAAGTTGTTTGAAAAAAATATCACATATATTGAGTTGGTTGTTCAGCAAAAGGTAGAGGATTATAAGGCCTTTTAACACAAAATTAAGCAGTTTTATTCTCCAAAATATAATCGAGATTGGCCCTTTAAATTAGACTCCAGGCGTAGGCCTGTCACCTGGAAGATGTAAATATAATTATCATTTTTAATAAAGTTGTTGGCATCGCCCCACTTTGCACGTCATTATATAAAGATAAAATTGTCTATTTTATGTTTCGAAGGAATTTAATTGGTCGTTTAGATACTGCTTTTGCAATTTTTAGAAATACAACTGAGTGCCAATTACATGAACAATAAAATTTCATGAGATATATTAAATATAATATCGTTATTATATAAAAACATGAACAGTATATTTGTAATTATCAAGCTTCAAAGACCTAAAATACAATTATTGAGTTCGCTCCGCTTTGAACTTGGCTGTTTTTCATTTCTATCATATCTTTGTTGGCAATATTGTGTGAAAATATGAAACTGCAACAAAGAACGTAACAAACTCTTTTAATGCAACGAATATCCAAATGTCATTTCTAGTTGAATGTTGACTTTGCCCTGTGTTTTTTTTCTCTAACTAATCGCTTGAAAGCGTCACCAAATATGCTGTCCTCGATTCGCTCGACGAGACTTTGGTTTGGCTGAACCCCTACTCCACCCCTTTAGAAAAATCATGCATCCACCTTTGTGAACAGGCCCGCGGCCAGAGTTGGTGGGGAAGGGGGCTGTGAGAGTGGGAGTCAGTCACAAACAAGGAAGGCCACAACTTTTTTCCGTACATCATATCAAGGTTGTAAACTCTCGGTCATTGTTTCAGGAACATGCATCTTTTACGGCTCGAAAATTTCTTGCACTTTGTATGTGTGGGATTGGGGGAAGCAAATTGGAAATATATATAATTATAGGCAGACAGCGTAAGTTAAGTATTCGAAGAGTGTGTGAATTACGGTGTTAAAAATAAATAAAGGGAGCTTAGTGGGTAAGACGCTGTCTCGCCAACCAGGAACACTCATGTTCGCTGGCCTTGTTGGCCGTGACAGTTCATCTGGATTTTCCTGTCAGTGGTGCGGCACGGAAGGTGCGAAAACCAGAGGTCTCGTGGACCTAAAAGAACCCCTTACAGCCGGTATTCAAAATAAGAATAGTCCGTAGTGCTGCTGTCCTTGATAAAATACTCTTATGGTAAACTGTATTAGCCCAACAGAAGCAGATACATGTAAGGGCTTAAACCCCATTTTATTTCAATTTAAAATAAATGTCGTTTCATGCTTATTTGGTTCATAACTGCATAACTGAATGCATTATAATGGCATATCCATGCACTTAATCATTCCTTCAACTACCCCCATGAGATGACAAATATTTGGGGTGACTTAAGTCAAAGATTAAGTACAAGTCAACGTTCCAGAATATCACATTTTATGGTATTCTCGAACAAAGATTAACTCAATGATTAGGCTAATCAATGTTTATAAAAATCTTAGTTTAAAATTTAGTCAGCTTTCCAGAATATGACAGGTCAGAAAATCAGAGATCGACTTTTCAAAATATGGGCCTAAATGTCTTAATAATAATTCAAATAACACTTCAAGACAAAATAAAGATAGTCTGATTTAGCTTTTACATGTACATAATGCCTGTTTAACAGAATCAAATTAATGTTTAACGAAGTAGGGACATTCAGGGGTTTGAGGGAGTTTTATTGTTATACGAGATATAATGAAGAAGAGATGAGTTCTTGAGAAGCATCAAATCTTGTTTAGGAGAGATGTAGATTAGATTAGTTCTAGATTAGAAGAGGGGTCAGGACACAGTTGAGAAGGCTAGACAAATGAACACTTGAGTTCAATAAAGAGTAGAGAGGGGTATATGTACAGGGAATGTGAGGGGCAGCCGAGAGTGGTAGGTGATTAAACACTAGGGTTCAATGAAGAGGGGAGATAGATAGAGGAGAAAGGGGTGTATTATTACAGTATGTACAAGGTAGTTAACGTGCAGTAGACTGGGGTACATTTACATTGTAGGTGAGTTTAAGAGCAGGAAAGGCTCGGAAACCCAAGAGCAGGAAAGGCTCTGAAACCTACCGGGTAAGAGCAGGAAAGGCTCTGAAACCTAAGAGCAGGAAAGGCTCTGAAACCTAAGAGCAGGAAAGGCTCTGAAACCTAAGAGCAGGAAGCTCAGAACGATGTGTGATGAAACAGGAAGAGTTCAGTAGGTTTTGGTAGTTCAGGAGTGTGGGAAAGTTTGGGTAGTTCAGGAGAGTGGGAAGGTTTGGGTAGTTCAGTGTAGCAATGAACATGGGTGTTCATGAGCAAAAACGAAGTAAGCCTACATGTATATATGTACTTACCAATAGGTGCATTATCTATAACCCTCAGATCGTAGGCACCCTGATAACCGACACGATAATTAGTTCTCGCTCCAGAATCCCACTGTACAACCACTGTTTTATCAGGCGATGTTTGACTGCCAGGCTTTCCTATCTCGACAACTGTGCCTACATGACCTTCACCGTTGTCTTGGTTACCCCATTTCCAGTCTGGACCTCGTACGACACGAAGACCTACCTCCATACTGTGAGAACCATTCAGACTTTCCTGAAAAAAAAAAGAGGAAGATGAAATTAAATGTGAACAATACAATATAAAACCATGGTTAAAATAAACTCAAGCCTAAGTTCAAAGATGCATTACAATGTATGTAAGAAAAGAAAAGAAAAGAAAAAAAAATGAAATAGGATTTAACATCCTACTGTTCTGGTCCTACTGGACTTATGAAGACGGGCATACGTCATATACATGTAGTGTGCTATGAGGGAAATTTTGCCCTGAATCAAACTCTAGATCATCGGATGGCCAAAATATTAAGTGGATTAGAAAATGTCTGCCATATCTTCATTAAAAATTAAAATATCAATGGTACTTAAGACTATTTACAGAACTTATTTTATTCTGAGCGAAGTTTTAACACGATATTCTTGAATGTCAAATAACATTACTACAATAATAAACAAAGTCTTGATTACCCATGATAGCATTTCGGCGGTCAGTGGTTCCACCAGGAAATTTGTTAATAGTGGCAAGCTTGCCATGTCAGTCACTAGAATCCCAATGCAAAGATTTTGCTTGACTTGTGTACAGTCACATAAATAGTTTCATTCATACATGTATAAGCTTAAACTAAAAACATTATAACAACAAGGCTGTTTATTCTAGGTTACTTCTTATATACATACACAATGTACCGTACACTATTCCTTAAAGATGTAAATAAATACTGCAATACTACAAGTATGAATAAACATGTTTACTTACAACATGTAGTAGATTCAACACAACCATGAAACAAGATTTTTATTGGTTAATTTTTCATAAAAGAAGGAACTTAAAAGGGTTATATATTTTTGCTATTCAATCTATTTCCTGGTGTAGTATAAAACTGATAATTGCAATTTATCAACATCAGGAAGAAAAAACGTAATAAAGTTTGACAAGGAACGATGACCATCACATGAACATTAAAGATAAATTATGGGAGATTAGATAAAGAACTGACAGTTCTCACTATAATATTTAAAAAACTAGATAATGTAAAGGGAAATTGCTGAAAATTTCAGTCAAATTGATCCACTCTGAACAGAGAATTTAGCGTACTATAAAGTCTGTACGATTAAAAACATAGTCTTGATTATCCATTTTTTAATTTAATCATGAATGAGCGTTGAGCAGCAGATCGGATTATAATCCAGTAAATATCACAGGCTAGCGATGACATCAAGAATTGATTATGGTCTGGATAAGTTAATTATGTTTAATTAATAATTTAGATAACATTTCAGACCTAAAGAAAGACCTGTAGTGGACAGATTTAGCTCTTGCATAATTTATGTTTAAGAAAATGGCCAACAGGGATGAATAAACATGTACATGTACATGTACATTGGATGAGTGATCTGTCTGTACAATAGTACGATCATACTATGAACCACGAAGTGACCATGTTGTTGTATGAAATTTAAAAAAAACTAATTCACCATATCAATGCAGAATTTTTCAAAGAACAACTCCTTGAAAAAAATATGTCTTCATCCGTCAACTATGACAACAGATATTATTTTGCTCGCTTGGATTCAGTGCGGCTGGGGGTTGGGGGTGAGAGTAATGTCGGCTGCAAGGAAGGATATTGTCATCTATGAATTAGGAAGGGTATTTCCCTACTTTAGTGTGAGGATTCAGACTTAGTTATGAAATGAGGAAGAAAAGTGCATATTGATGAAAAAAAAGGTACATGTACATTGTAGAATAATATATACCCCTTGGAATGGGTGGTACCCGTAGTATCCAAAGACACCCATGTGTGTTACAATTTCAATTTTTACACATTATGTATTGTATATAAATCTTTATTAGACTTATTTCAATTTTATTAGAATATACAAATAAATGTTTTTGGGGGGAGTCTTTTCTGTAGCGGATATTTATTATTTCTATCAGAATTTCGTCTTCACAGTATAAAATTGTAATGAATTAATGCTTTTTGGGAGACTTTTCTTGAAATCTAACATAACTTATATTATATAAAATTATTTTATTAGAATTTCCTCTTCACAGTATAAAATTATAAAGAATTCATGTTTTTTGGAAGACTTTTCTTGAAAACTAACTTTATATATTTATTATTTCTATTAAGACTTTATCGTTATGAAATTGTAATGAATTAGCTGTTACCTGTGACAAGGATGAGAAGTGATCTGATTAAGAAAGGATTAACTCTGTCTTCTTATTACCTGTCTGTTCTAGATCAATGACCGTTTGACAGATCACCTGATCACAGTCTTGATAAACAATTAATCCCTTCCTAATATTATAACAAGACAGTTCAATATCAATCAATGAACACTAAAACAACAGATAAATTCAAGTGAGGAATAGATTTAGTCCCTTTAATAATTTCAGATTTAAATCCATCAAGCCTAAAAAACAAAGGAGTTTACTTGTATGTACATTGGAGTATGGAATATAATTAGTCCTTTTTCTTACATTTTGATTGTCTTTTAGTGATAAAATTTTTAGGCATAAGCTAATGAAATCCGACTGTTTGTCGAAAAATGTGGTTCATAATAATAATAATTTCAAATTTAAATCAATAAAATTTAGTCCTTTTCCTTATGTTTTATTAATGAAATTGATCAGTTTGTCAATAAATCTGGATTATAATAATCTCAGATTTAAAACAACTTTAATCCACCCACCAGAGGAATCTGTGTAATCTTTAATAAAAGTGTTTCTTAATTCTGATGGTTATCTTAATAATTTTTTTTAACAGCTATTTGAATCATTTGGATATTTGGTGGGTGGATGGGGGGGGCGAATGGTTAACATGTGCATAGTTCACCGTTAGGTCTGTCATTGAGTCAAGTGGCTGGGTTTTGTTTCCTCATTTGTACGTGACAAGAAGTCAGGTCGCCTGTTCAACCTTGTGGGTTTTCTCTTGGTTCATCGGTTTCCTCTCAATGCCAAGATTCTACATTCTAGCGAATAATGGAAATAAAATCGAACCATATGTTAGTCCCGAAATGACCTAGTCCTGAAATTTTCCATGGCTTAATCCAAGTTAAACTGTAATCTACTCAAACTGATTATTTAACATGTCATCATATTATTAAATGAAATGAAATGAAATGGGGTTTAACGTCCTACTGTTTTGGTCCTAAACTGGGCTAATGAAGATGGGCATACGCCATACAGTGTGCTATGAGGGAAATTTTGTCCGGGCAGCGGCACTACGGCCTACTCTTATATCGAATTCCAACTGTCAAGGGATCTTTTACGTGCACGCCAGTATGTACACAGGGCCTCGGTTTTTCGTCCCATCCGAATGACTAGACAGCTGTCCTTGTCAGGCCCTCCGTCCTGCATCACATCATAATATTAACGATAGATGATATCTCAGCTTCGATAAAAAGGGAGGCCCATCAAAAGGTTTTAGCTTTTGACCATATACTATTTTGATCCTCTGCATACAGCATAGGCGGCTCAAGGCAATGTTGACAAATTTTCAATTCATCATATGTTTGTACATACTGAACAGATCTGAACCATTTTATTTATGATATTCCTTTAAGAGATTCAACATTCATAAATTACCTCCAAACTATCAATTCAATCTAAGCCGGCGTGAGGCCTCGGTTCTCTTATTTCCTCAGAACCTTCAAAAGGGGATGTGGTCATAACGACTAAAATAAATTTTGGTCAAAACGGCCAAACAGTTTGGTTTTAATATAATGGTCCCAAAAATTAGTCATAATAAACAGCCATAACAGCCAAACATTTTGGTCAAAACGGCCAAACAATATGAAAAACAATATATTTTACTAAATATTGCTTGCCATCTGATAGCCTAGAAAATTGATTATAGGCTTGTCATGTTAATAAATTCCTAAATAATACTAATAATAGTTTTATATAACATTTGAAGCCAATAAAAATTGATACAATTAGGCCAATTTAGCATTGAGCATAATGTCTCTTTAAAATGTATATATTATATACAAACTGACAATAAAGCTTAATCGGTCTCTCTTCATAACTTCAACAGTCAAGATATTATTGTGCTGTCAATCTAAAATTGCTGAATAACATATTTACCACAATAATAAAAACTTGAAATCATCAGAGACCTATTTCTAGAAAGACACCAGAGTTTAAGAAAATCTACATTGATTAAGAAAACCCATAACAAAATGTAACTGTTGTATTATGTCTACTCATCAATATTACTGTCTAGCGTCTATCGGTGTCAACACAGATGATATGATTGAAAAGTCAATCCCCTCAAGTCACAGATAGAAAATGCAGGCAGAGAAGGGATGGGAAACTCTGACTGACTGACAATCAAGCCACACAAAATGCGAAGTCAAACCCTCAGTTCAAAAAAAATTCCAGCGTCAACGATATATTATCAGACTCAAACATCAGATATAAAAGGGTATATTTGCTAATCTTCCATAACAGAAACTATAACAGAAAACTTACATGAAAATTAAAACTCCAATGTCGCCCCAAATTTTTACTATTTATTTTTCTTCAGGATCTAGATTTATAACATTCGGACTCCGCAGATAAAATAATTTTGATATGATTGGTCAAAATAAAATACTGAAAGTAATTTTTAAAATATTTTTTTTTTACAACTGCATTTATTTTGAATAATTTGAGGCACGAGACGCTTAATTATGAAATAAAAAGTTAATTAAAATTAAAATAATTTGACATCAGACAAAAGCGCCAGCAACTCCGGGCTTTGTTGACGGCTGTTCCGCCAGAGTAATCAACCCCCTCGGTAATTCAAATTGCCCCGTGTGGGTTTTCTTTGTGTAAAAAATGTCATTTTTCGATTTTTAAACATCTGTGAGCCTCTTAATATCATAAATATAACGTGTGAAAATAAAATAATTACTAAAAATATGCATTATTGGCCTTATTGTCTCAAATCTTAGCTGAACATAAGGGCGAAGCTGAATTACTAATTTTTAGTGGCTCAAGCGGGTACCTTGTATTTAGGACAATAATTGCTAAAAAAAAACACATTTAGAGATAATGACTATCAATACTCACAAAATTATTCTAAAAACTTGCAAAATAACTCTGATGGCCGATGTTTAGAACGGCACGGTTGATTTGGATGTTTTTGTAACAGTGAAAAATTCTTGTATTCGAGATATCAGTGTTCCAGACGAGCCTCGATTTGACAGTGGTCGGTCGACAGCGGGGAAATTATACGGTAGCCATTTTGATATTCGTTCAACTCTCAAGGCAGATATTGAGGGAGTTTAAGTTCGTTTATCGGCTTCCTCCGCCATGGGGGAGACGAAAATTATATATCATATTGACGATGAGGATACACCATATTTAATCAAGCTCCCTATTCATGCAGACCTTGTTACGTTAGGGGATTTTAAAAATGCTCTCAACCGCCCTAACTACAAATTCTTCTTCAAGTCAATGGATGATGATTTTGGGTAAGTTTCAATAATCTACTATGGAATATCAGCTTGAATTATACACAATGTTGCCAAGTGCATGCCTTATAAATGATGTTTATTGTCAATACAATGCATGAAATGTAAACAATGTGTAATAGTGACCGGGCAATAAGTGAGATATTGCACGATTACCGAAGTGATTCAGAACCTGGAATAATTGAGACTGAAGCCATGCATGATGCCATTGCTATGGATGGAGTTCTAATAGTAATCTAGATCTTTGCCTGGAGATAGATCCAGTAGCAGCTAATATTGGAACTTTTTATATTACTCTTGTTCTTACACTAACATGTTAGATTACATGTACATGTAATGACATTGGGTTATTCATATTAAGAAATCAGACATTTTCATCCTGTTTCAAACGTTTAATATGACATACACATGAAGCCACATAATGTTACGAATATCTGGTGGTCAAAATGATCTTCATAGAGAAAAGATTTTTGTGGCTGACATCTGTCACAGGATATGAAACATCTAAAATATTCAAGCTACACAACTCTGAAAATATTTGTTGCTTCTCCTGCTCATTGAAGCATAGATATAAAACAGTTTGTGGTTCAGAATGGCGCCGTCTCGCTAACCTGAGGGTCTCGAGTTCAATCACGGTGATGGTGCGGAAGGTGCATGGTTTCCCCCATGCCAGTGGTGCAGGATGGAAAGCCTGGTAATGAACAGTTTCGCGATGGTTGGGATGAGACAAAAACTGAGGTCTTGTATACCAGCCCTTCACATTTAGGTTGCACTTTTTGACGCACCTTGACTTTTCTTCGCTGGTCTCATTAAAGACTCCTGCAAATTAGCTAAATCACTCTCCTAAATACTGAGATTAATAAACTACTTTCAGTTTTTGTTTATTTTTAACTTGCATCCGTTCGAGCTATCAGTTTCCAGGATGATAATTCTGACGCTACCATATTCACCAAATATTAAACAAGACTAAAGCATAAATACCATTTGGGTCTCCTTAATTCAAGAAAATGTAGAATTACTCTAGCAATATAATTAAGAAGAGGTTTTTACGTGAGCTCTTTTCTCATTTTTGCAATTGGCAATAGCTTTTTAGCGCTCTCGCACAATTTTATGAATGTGAAGGACTGTTGTATACACGTTAGCACTGTGAATGTAAAGAAAACTTGACTCTAATTTGATGAAGAATTTTTGGAAACCTCACTTACATGTACCTAATCCTCGAACCCGTCATGTCAGTCCGCAGACCCTTCCTATTGTCCTAAAACCCTTACTGTCTGTCCCCGAACCCTTCCAGTCGTCCTCAAACCCTTACTGTCAGTATGCAAACTGCTGCGCTGACCCTTCTTGTCAGTCCTTGAACCCTTCCTCTTCGTCCTTATTAAGCTACCAAATGAAATTAATGAATGCATCTCAACCCTTACCTCTGTTCTAGTCTCCCCACCCCAGCCACCTCTGTTCTACAGCTCTCTTGGAGACCTTTGTACATGTACCTTCTATTTTCCACTGTAATTCTTCTTTTTTTGTCAAAAGGAATCATTTCTCACCACATCTGACACAAATTTATGATAGTCCAAACACTATTTACAAGTGGAATTTTGTGATTCAAAAATATAAACAAATGACTGCAAGCTGTAGGCTGGTAATGGCGGACTAATTCAAACTTGTTTATATGTATTTGAATTGTAAAATTCATCTTTGAAAAGAGGATTATTATAAATTTGTTTCAGATGCAGCTTAAACATACATTATGCAAGAGCTAAATCTGCCTATTGCAGGTCTTTCTTTAGGCCTGAAATGTTATCTAAATTATTTACTTATACAGACCATAAAGAACTCTCGATGCCATCGCTAGCCTGCGTTATTTACTGGATTTGAATACATATTGTGATGGATGATTTAACGTCAAAATGGATAATCAAGACTGTTTTTTTTATCGTAACGACTTTAGTAATGATGATCGAGGCTAAGCCTAAAATTCAATCGCTAATATCTCGGTTCATAGTGGAGCAATTTGAATTTTTCAGCATATTCTAATTTTTAGTTATTATAGTTATTAGTTATTATAGTTATTAGTTATTATAGTTATTAGTTATTATCAAATCTCCCATAATGCCTCTTTAACAAGGATGCATCGGAACTTTCAGGGGACTGAGACTGTGACAAAGAATCGCTTACCGTAATTGGCTGCGTTGTGGCATTAAAAAATAACTGGCACTAATGACACATGTACAGTATTAAAATAACTGGCTCTAATGACACCTGTATTAAAATAACTGGCTCTAATGACACCTGTATTAAAATAACTGGCTCTAATGACACCTGTATTAAAATAAATGGCTCTAATGACACCTGTATTAAAGCTGAGTATTCTGTATATATATTAATTTATTAAGATAATTAATCTTGTGACTTCTTTATTAAATAATTTTAATTATGTTGTCACAGCCATTTAATAAACTCACATGCATCTTGTCAGACTTATATTTACCGGTAGATAACATTTTTGTTGAAATCATTTAGTCCCGAAATGTCAAAGTTTGTGTGGAGTGGACGTTAAACCCCATTTCTCTCTCTCTCTCCCTCTCTTAGACAATTAGGGTGTTCAAGATTGTGCAACTTGTTCCTCGATTCAATGTGATGTGTTACATAAAAACAATCTTGAGTCTTTACAGTAGTTTTGACTATTTATATATGTACGAGCCATGCCACAATCTAATTTGAGACGACAACTCTATTTCTAGCATGTATATTATAATAATGTATTGTAATTATTTCAGGGTTGTCAAAGAAGAAATAATAGACGATGATGCCAGATTACCGTGTTTTAACGGTCGAGTTGTATCTTGGGTAAGTCAGAGTTACCTTTCCTTTATCTTGTCATATTATGTGCTTTAACAGAAGAACTGCACAACTCAGCCTTGAATAAACAGTATAGGAATACAGCACAATTAGGAGATACTTGTACATGTAATTGATTGAAAATTCCAGAATTGAAATCTCGCAAATGATACATGTGTATTAGTCTTTACATTTCAATGTGATTTTCTGCAGGTTCCATCACTTATAAGAATTTCTGAACTCATAAAATAAATATGAAATATGCAAAGGCCTTTAATGAGTGTCGTAATGCGTAAACTACATGTAAATCTAGCGATGAGCTCAATATTTGGATTTTAATTTTCTGACAAACTGAAAGCCACTTGAGAAATCTGGAACTGCCATTTTAACATTAATTGTATAATCAATCAACATATTTCTTGCTTGCATTAGTTAATTCTGTTTCCGTTTTTTTACAACTGCCCTTTAACACATGCCTTTTACACATGCCTGCCTTTAATTAAAATAATAATTGTGTTCCATATTAATTTTGTTTATTTTATGTGTGTCAAGTGCTAAATACTGCTCAAAGAAGATGTATTCTTTAGCCCCCCCACCCCCCCAAAGAATGTTAAGTTTCCGGTAACCCGACCTACCCATCACAAAACCTGCAGATTCTTAAATTTTTTAGTGTCAAGAAAAATGAAAAATCTTTTGTTCACCGACCTACATGTACTGTTCAGAATAACCTAAACCTTCCGAATTTGTGAAAATGCCTGAATAATTTGTTGTTACATGTATAAATGAATATAAATGTCATCTTTGAGGCTGCAATTGCCGATCGGAATAGGCAAGTACATGTAGTCTACAGCGTACGATTATTAAAAAATGACATACATGTACTGTTGATGCAAGATTGCTGACATGAAAATCAAGACTACAAGTTTCAGATAGATTTACCCCTACACATTCTAATAAATATTGGCATGCAATTGGACAAAAACACAGATAGGATCTGCTCAATTAATATTTAAAACAAGAACAGGTAGATTTATTACAGACCTATTTTGTACAACAGTACGATACGATTTTTAAATTTTTCATCGCAAGTTCTTTCCCTTGAACAAAATGGCCTCCCTATATGCTAATTGTTTTTTTTCTTAGCATGGAATGATTAAAATGCATTCATTTGCCCCCAAAGAGAATATTTAAATCAGAAATATAGCCTCTGATTTATTTTAAACAATTATCTAAGAACTCCATCCACCAATCTATACCGACGACGATACAACTTGGCATGAAATTTGAGATAATTGAAGATTTTCACACATAATATTATAGGCTACCGTAGATCTACTAAATCTAATTTAAAGTTGGGTTCCCAGAAAAGTATTTATCGGGTGGTTATTTCCAATAAAAGTATGGCAATTTTGGTATATATATGGAAAGTAGAGATATCCAATCTTACTAGAAAAATACTGGATTCCCCGAAAACACTCATGGAGCGTATACAGGACAAAAATGTAATGGTTCCTGCACGCATGATGTCAAAGGTCACATGCGAACATTGAGCACTTGATGTACAAGTTGATAAACTTTATGAAGAGTTAGACGTACAGGTACAACACATTCTGAGATAAAAATGATGGAAAAAGACGCGGGTAGTGGATAATCCAAGAATTTAATTAGGATTCGATTTTTGTAATAAATAGTAAGCCATTAAAGACAACATCATCTTATGTATGCAATGAATTCTCCTCTGACTTCCAAGAGAGTTAAGTCACGTGAAGTAAACATGACCTGGTTTTATCGAGTTTTTATAGCAGGGCATTCCTTCGCAATTACAATGTTTGAGAAGGATTTGAAGCAAAATTATGACAAATTAATTAGTTTGAATATGTTTTTAGTCCATACATACCATTAAGTCACCCAGTTTGTACGCAGGAATGTATCTTTAATATAACTAAAAAATTTTAAAAAAAACCCCGAAATGATCCTAATCTATTTTGCGTCCATTTTTTGGCTTTATATGCATTCATGTGCCCATTTATACGCATACATGTGCCCTTTATATATACATGTATGTGCCTTTTGGTGTGAAAATATGTGTGTAATTTGTCTTAAAATCGTTCTGATTAAAATACAGATCTATATTTCATTTCGTTTTATTTATACTTTCAATGGCCTATACTACTTGAAGATGTGACTGGTTGTCATGGAGGGTTGCGCCCGGGGTCATACGAGCGGCTTTTGACCCTATGACATCAGACATTGATTAATCAAACGGCGTTGATGTTTCTAGTGGTTTACCCACAGTTCCGTGCATGGCACGCCAAGAACTCACTGTAACAAACCGTTTCATTGGTTAATCCCTCACGTCAACCAGAACGCAGGTTATATAACAACTCTTCCAGATCCTAGTGTAGTAAAGACAAGTAAAACAAAATTTTGAACTAGAGACTCGAGACTTATATCTTCACTTCAATATATCATTTTCAGACAACTCAGCGCCATTGAGCAGTACATGTATACTGGATAATAGGCGCTATATAAATAAATTATTATTATTATTATTATAAAAAAACAAAACGAAATAGCATGTGTGTTTTAATCAGATTGTCTTAAAATGTATATTTAAAGTAGCTAAGTCCGTAACTCAGTATCATCCAAAATCTTCGACATTGAAAACACAAGTTTTTTTGCAATTTAAATCAGCATTGGTGTTGTGATCTTACCTGGAAAAGATGGGCTTCTGATATCCAATATTTAAGACAAAATAAACATTTTACCATTGGTACACGAATCGTATACCATAATGTGTTTCACACCATTTGTAACAAGGTGCTCAAAGAATGAGGCTAGACATTTTCAACATGTCATGTCAAACAGTGATATCATGTTCTTATATGGAGAGCATGCGCAATAAATAATATTGGTGTTGACTGGAATAACCAGACGCTAGAAACTGACTTGCGGTTGAGACTTCTGGCGTATTTCGCCGAACATAACTGTTGACAATTCACAGTAAAACGGACACGATTGAATGTAAAACAGTTTATATAAATTCATATTACATTATTATATGTGTTGCGACCCATTTGTGCCAATTTCTAGGTCCAAAATATTACCAATTTAGCTCCTTTAAACTGTATGTAAAAATACTAGAAAACTTAGTTTGATACAAGAATATAACAAGTTTGATATAAAATCTGGGGATCTTGTAGATTACCATAATAAAAGAGAAACATTGCTATCACTTGTCACTGTAATGATATATTAACATGTGACAGGTGAAGTGGTGTCACTCATTTCCTGGCCTACTCAACAGTTTATTTGTGGAAATATTGATAATGATACTTGGGAAATGAAGAAAAAAAGGCTACATGTACATGTACATTTTGTTGTGAATAATAGGTCAGTTATTGATGGTTTTAGGGAGGAGGGAGCCTCAGTGGCTTGTTGGCTCGCTAACCTGGAGGTCCTATGTTCGAGCCCCTAGGGGGGGGGTTGGATGGCCAAATGGGTTGCACATGTGCGCTGTATCATACGGTCTATCATTGAGTCAACTGGTGGGGTTTCGATTCACCGTTTGTACCTGACAAGGAGTAATAAAGGGCCTTGGTAATTGTCAGTGGAAGTAGGGTTTTATTGGAGATCATCAAGTTCTGGTTTTCCTATTATTACATGTATTTCAAGAAGATTTGATATTAATTTAGCAATTCAAGTCAATACTATTCATGTTATTGGTACAATCATATACATTTATACATGTATGTGTAGCTACATGCACATGTAACATTTAGAGGCAAATACTTTACTTGAAAGTATCAAATTTCGATAAAAAAAATAAAAAAAATTCATAGGTTTTTCATATACATGTATATCTGTTCTTCACTATGCATATCCATTTGTGAATCAGAAAAATTATATGTGACATAGATTTAGTTTCCAATCCAAATTGTTAGTTGCCATTCTGTTCCATTTGATTCTAATTAAGTGAGAGTGGTGAAACTTTGTGTATAGCTTCATTAAATCAATACCTTGACTAATTTCAATAATGAAAATTTTCTGCTCAGGCTAAGTAGTGATAAGCATTTTAATTGTGCAAGGCTTTGGAATATACAGTGTAACTCTGATTTTAATTGATGCTGATGTTGATGTTCATGAGGTGAATGTCTTGACTTGAGTTCAATGATTAACATTATCTGTTAAAGCTAAGCAGAGCTAAGAAATTTCATTGGTTGATGCTTTGGGACAAGATAACTTTGATACTATCTGATAGAGAGTGATGAAACTTAGTGTAAGTTTCACTACCAGGTACATGTACATGTACTTCAAAACAACGGAGTTTGATGCTGAACATTTTCTGCTTACACTAAGAATAGAGAATCAGTTTGATTGCTCGATAAATGTTCAATTAATTAGTACATGTATGTGTCTTCTATTAATTTTGGGATTGCAGATGGGAACGTCAGTCCCACTGTTGGCTTGTCGAACACAGTTAAAATATAGCAGTTTGAAATCAGTTCTGACCAATATAAACTTTAAATACATGTACATGTAACGGAAGTTAAAGTAACTAAGTCTCTAACTCAATATCATCCAAAGTCTTACAAGTTAAAAACACGAATTATTTGTCAATTCAAATCAACATTGATGTTGTGATCTTACCGGGAAAAGGTAGGCTTCTGATATCCAATATTTAAGATAACATAAACATTTTACCATTGGTACACGAATCGTGTACCATAGTGTGTTTCAGCGTCATGTGTAACAAGTGACCAGAAAGAACGAGGCTAGACATATTCAACTTGAAAGTCTGCGCATTAGACTGGAATAACCAGACGCTAGAAATAGCGATTCAGTCGAGACTCATGCCGTATTTCGCTGGAGATAACTGATTTGAAATTAGAGTCAAAATGGAAACAACTTAATGTAAATCAGTTTATATACAATCAGATTACATTATTATATGTGTTGCGACCCATTTGGGTCAATTTCTAGGTCCCAAATATTAGCGATTTAACTCC